CAATTAACTTTTTAACAGACAGTGTTAGTTGAACAGTGACAATACGTATATATAGGTATTATTATCATGTCTGTATGAACATGTATGCTTGGTCATATTCAGTAGCCTAGGTACATATCCCTCTTTCTAGATTAAAATACTCAATATATCACTCGCTTTACAACATATATGTGCTTGAATACTATTAATTGATATGACTCTTTATTCGCCTCTGTATTAGTTTGCATTAGCATTTCTGCTCGAGTTCACTTGGTGTGTTTGTGGCTTACTGATTTGTGATATTTAATAATAAACTGTAGTCGGCGGTTCGTATTGCCTTCTGAATCTATAAACCTTTGGGATTTATTTACCGATTGTAATCACGACGATTGATATACGAAGGTTTAAGAATTATCTCAAGGATAATCCACTACAAACTACTTTCATTCAAATCCGATTATGATGGCTAGTAGTAAACGAACCCTGATATAATATTGTTTCTGTTATGCTTTGAGTTCACAATACTACATTCAGATGATTATAGGTCATCATATTTCTCGTATTCTTTTCCTATTTAATGAGGGAAAGATTTCAGTTTCTCGCAAATGAAAATTTGTTGTTTGCAGAATTCTTTATCTTCAGGCAAACAGTTTGATTGAAATAAAAATATCAAAACTGTCCTTAAAAATCATGTCCCTTGAGGCTATATTTAAAAAGCAGATACAATTAGATTTGTCATCCAAAAACATCTAAATTGAGAGTATTTTCAGTTCTTTCATGGTTACTTCTACGTAATAAAGGACAGTGAGTTTACAATTTGATAAGGTGGATCTTTCAGCAAGAATAACTTAGTGTGGGAAGGATGTGACTTAAGTTTATACCAAATTATACGTAACATCATTCATTCAATAAAGCGTAGGGCAGCAAATCTACCAAGTTTGTAATTAGAAAGATATCCTGTTATAAGTGATGAAAATTTGTTTACTTCCAGCTAAAAAGTCAATAAGTTTATTTTACTTTATTTCTGAGTGTAGAAAAAACCAGCATGTAATATTGTTTATATTCTCAGGCTCTATTAATTACCTAGATATTTCGCCTTAAGATGAGACTGACAATAATTATCATAACTATCATGGTCCTAGAGACTTATATTTTCAGTATATTGTTTTCATCTACTGGGTCAACATTTAATTAAATATAGCAGGGACTCAGATTTATTAAAATAATAATTTATTCTTTCCACTTGACAAGTCTATTCATTCTATGACCACAGATATATGGTTGTTTTGTTTATTATTTCATTTGGAAATTTTAGCTGCAGAATGTTTCGTTTCAAAACTATTATGATGGTGATAGGATTTTATTTTTATCTTCACATTAATTGACCTAAATTTCTGTCAATTTTAGTATATAAAATCATTTGATGAGAAATATTAAACAAATGATTACTAATTCAGGGAGTCCAATTTTAAGAAACAGCTAAATTCAAAAGTAGTGTCTTAATTTGTTGACTAGTTAAAAACTCCTTTATGTTAAATTTTAATCCATGGTATAAATGACCATATTGAGTACATTGATCAATCAACCTTTCCGTTGTATTTACATAACGACTGAACATGTATTTCTGTTTAAAGAAAATTTCTTTACAATTATATGTTAAGCTCTATTATTTGATATCTCTATAATCCAAGCATATATAAGCTTCTAAAGACTGAAAGATTACTTTTCATGGTTCATCTACCTTATTCAGAATAATCTTACAGATATCAGACAAGCAGCTAAATTCTTTATGCACAAGGTACTAATTTTTTAGGATGTAAACAGATATTTTGTATACAATGACCCTGTCTTCGAATAATGTTTGAGCTCAATATTTAGAGGGACAGTGATCACATTTGCGCTATTGTGACTGATCCCTTGTCACGTACGCAGTCTCTAGAAACTGACAAGAGTTATTTCACTGGCTCTAACAAGGTGGTCTGCACTAACAACATGGCACAGACCAATATTCAGTATCTGCATGGACCGATGTTATACCTTGATTTGACTATTCCTTCCTTCCGACCCACTCCCATCCCTGCTAACGGTGTTGTGATAGTGTCTAAACAGGTGTAACACATCTCCCAGCCTCCTAAGCCAATGAAGACTCAGAATCTCATGAAGCCATTTCCCATCATCTTTACCTAATATCCTATACTTAGCTTTAATTTTTACCACTGCCGTTTCACGTATGTGATGAAATATTAGGTGTGACACAAGATATTTATTAAATAGTGTCCTTCAGCATGTGGAGTAAGACAAACATAATACTACGCTGTCCGATGACGTTTTCAATCTTCCTACTGTTGTCCTGGAGACTCACTGACATGAACAAGAAGGTTAACATGTGATGTAATGAGCATTTTAATAATAAACCATATCACTACTTACAGTCAAAACATAATATAATTTCAGGAGAACAAAAGGTAACACAGTAAATTACTTCACTTATTTCTATTAACGTTACGTTATTCATAGAAATAACCTTGAGGTGGGTTCACAAGGTACAGTCTGCTTTTCGTGATCAGCGCCTCATGTAAGATATACGACTGTGCATTGGGAAATGAACACGCCACGAAGAACGACGTCCTATTTTATGGATGGCATATGGGCACTTACCGACTAAAAACACGAGATTATAAGGAATGTGATTTATGGGAGAATTAATATTATTCCAGTAAATGACATAAGTGTTCTACAGTACACTACGGGAGGTTTACTACACAGATAGAAACAGTATTCACCATTTAGTAAATTACACTTTTATTATTCTATGTAACTGTGAAAGTACTTCATTTTTAAAATTTACTCAAGTCCCAACATAATACGCAATAACATTCTTCATTCAGAAGTTTATGTCCTAACGGCTTGTAAATAAGCTAAAAAATATTTCAACTGAAAATCCTGTTGAACACTAAACTCTTTCAAACAAAACTGTATCAGAATGAACATACGCGAAAGACGGCTAATGTAAATTCAGCAGTGAATTAGAATTATTTATCGATACCTTTCACACGGCGGTATAACATACTACTGATGTACATTAGAGCTAACCTGTTAATTCCTTTCACTAAATATTGAAACTGAATAAAACACAATTAGAACATAGAAACTGAGAAGATTGTGACAACCAGGCACAATAAGTCCATAACACTTTTGTAATTTAAGATATAGTATTATATTTTTTTTGAAAACAAAAAAGAATTTTAAAGGAAAACTATAGACATACACACACACATACATACATAAATGTAGATAACGATTCTTCATTATTTCTAATATTCATACGTGCTCATTTGATTTGCTCAAAAGTCTTTCTATTAATTGAATATATTTTATCAATAAATATAATTTCTCTTTATATGTATACATAGTTTGTTAACAAAATGAATTCAATTGATCTAAAATATAACATTATAATAATATTGCAATTGTTTAATGCATTTACGATTCATTAAATTGACAAGTTCTAATAAATTGGAAAGATAGAGAAAGAAAATATTCCAAGAAAAACGTCCTATCAAAACAAAAGGAGAGTGAATCTACAAGTACTACACACATACACATATAATAAGGAAACTGGTATCTGTTCAACGTTATTCTTAAATCTAAAGAATAACAAGAGTATTTTAATTTGGATTCATCTTTTTATTTATCATTCATTTTCTCTTTAAATTGTATCGTACAATAATAATTTGGAAATTTCAACAATAATCAAAGTGCTATCATTACTAACGTCTAAAAATTTGTAAAAGAAGATATAACTAATTCTCTTCTTTTGTAGAGAGGTAGGGTATTAGTACCATTATTATTAGTAGTAACAGTATTAGGGAGAAGTTTTTTGGTTGTTTTTCAATTAACTAGCTACAATCAAACAATTCTATTATTATTATTATTTAATTATAATAAATAAGAAAACAATATATGATCAAAAAGAAGTTGACGAACCATAAAAAAAAAACCATCAGTACAATGTAACATGGGAAAAAAATAATAAACACATTTTACAAACGAATAAAGAGTACACATATATGATAGAACAACGAAATGAAAGGAAGATTGGATGGAGAAAAAAAGAAGGAAAAATTTACTCTCGGTTTCTTCCAACTAACCAAATGCAATTATAATGTATGTGTGTATGTATGTGAAAGAGCATGAGAAATCCACTAATTTGTGAGTACATACTAACAGAAAAGCGTGTAACGATTAAAGAACTGTCAACAACAAAAATTGCCTTACTTGTAGACTTATGATAATTAGATTTCATTAATTTACAGTAAAATTATACACAAGTCCCAGATTACAAGTGAATGGAGCAAAAAAATCTATTAATTGATGACATAGTTATACATTATATTTGACAAAAATGAAAAAAAGGTAAAATCGAATACAATACAATACAAACAGAGCATAGTGAATAATACAGCAGTAAATGGTAATACAAATTCTGATCATTTTGTACCAATAAAAAGGAATGACTACAATTTATCATGAATGAATAAGTAATCTGTTCAGGTTTTACTTTATTAGAAAATCAAAGTTAAACTGATCAAAGAAACAGAAAAAACAAACAGAGGAAAAAAAGATAGCTGGATGTTAGAGTGAAAAAAAGGATATAATAGTGGAACAAAATGCTAACTGAGCGAAATTAATCTGAAGTTTAACTACGATTTAAAATAGAAGATCTTGAATGAGCTAGATTCTGAAAAAAGTGTTGTTTTAAAAAAAAGTGAGTGCTACTGAAATGTCTATTATAACAATGTTACATTCATGAACAGATGAAGTGAGATTTAAAAAAAAACAAAATAGCGTCGACAAAACTATTTCATTACGTCTAAAAAAGCAACTGTAACAATACAAGCAGTCGAACTGGAAAAATCCAATCAATGCACAGTTCATTGGTACAGGTAGACTGAAAAAGCTTCACTACAAGTTCAACGTTGTGCTTTAACAGACAGGGAAGTTTGCGGTTAAACAAACTACTATGCTCTAGATGATGCCCCATCATAATTTCCCAAATGAGGACGTCCATCTACAAAATCATCATCATCTTCAACATCCTGAACATCACCATCCTCCGGAGCAAGCTCGTCTAACGCCTCTAAGAAGCGTAGGGAATCGGCAAAACCAAGACCTAGTTCAGATCGTAAACAGTGAGTAAAGTACTCGGGAGCCCAAATGCGTAAACCAGCCAACTGGGACAATAAAACACCATCTATGCCACCAGCTATTTGAGAAGGTACATGGCCCAATCCGCGAAATTTCAACCATGAAGCAACCTTGCAGGTTGACCAATTACGAACTGAAGGACGAATAGCGTGACGCCAGGCATTAGTCGCCAAAGGTCGGGATGTGATATTTGATTGAATAGGAATCGCATTTTGATTGCGAATTTTCGGTAATCCTATTTGATTACTTAGGTGAATTGGATCTTCACGTCTAAGGCCTGGAGACGGACCTAGTGAACCCCGACTACTAACTACGGGGCTTGCATTGACATGATTTAAGGTTACATCTGAACTAGGCATAACAGGGAATCCAGTATCACCTGAAGTTAAGTGTTTTTTGGCATCAATTGATAATTGGTGTTGTGCTGCAACTAAGGCAGCAGTCTCCGCACGCTTCTTTGCTTCTCCATAAAATTCTTTTACCTGACTAATTAAAGCATCATAGCTTACCTCAGGATCACGTTTGCCATTGAAATCAATAGGATGTTGAGAAATAAGACGATTCAGCCAACCAGTCAACTTAAATTTTGGTTGTAGGATAACAGGAATAATAGGTTTTGAGTATACGCTTGTATCAAAACTAGAAAAATGTTCCACTTCCCATCGACAACCAGGACTTAAGCGAAATGAATCACTTAAAAATGCGATCACAACTGAGGCTTGTTCAACACATTCAACCCACTGAGCATGATTTGTAGCATTAGCCGCACACATAGTAAGGCCAGTTGCTGAAGCATCTACTGATGGTATTACTTCGGGACCAAAAGGAATATTATTAAGCACTATTCCAGCATCTCTTAGACGATCAGCCACTCGGTTAACAGCAATACGATTAGACGGTGAGAAACATAATAATACAGGACCACACTCTGTAGGTTCATTTTTAGAATTTTTCGAAATACAAGTATTCAATTGCCAATTAATGGATTCAATTGCACGTGAAAGAGATTTATAAGATTGTAAAGCAACTGCATGATTTGCCATAGTATCACTTAACCAACTTGTTAATTGCATCTGTAAAACTCCTGTGTAAATGGATGGATCAAAAACTGTATTCCATAAGATACGAACTGCTTCTTCTGCTTCTCTAACAGAAACAGGACTAGAATTAGGAAGTAATGCAGTTTCAATTAATTCTTTCAGTAAACTTAGACATGTCATACTATGTTCTGTGCTTTGATTATTATTTGTACCAGCAATCAAATTCACATTAACAGGTGATGATAGTAAATTCGCCTTAACAGGATCAAGAACAGACAAAGCAGCAACAGCAGATAATAATTCAAGCACTTGAAATCCATGACACCTTCGTTTCTCAGAAACACGAGCTGATGTGACATAGCCAAATAGAATTCTTAACAAATCAATACCACCATTTGATACGTCAGTAATTAAATGAATTTCTGATTCAGTTACAATGTGAGCTAAACAAAGGGTGGAAACACAGCGTAGAAATTCTTCTTCACGTTGAGCTAAATTTAGTAATGCTTGCCGAACTGATTCAGATGCAAAATAATGTGTATTACCTGGAACACGAGCTATATTATGTATGATAGATAAACTAGCTTTAATTAAATAATATACATTTTTACTACTTAAATTCTCTAAATATGGTTGATGTCCAATATTTAAATTAAGTAGATTTGGTAGACCGGCAATCGCTAAAGCAGTGGCGAATTCCGGCCAAATATCAGAAAAATTCCATGTTGTATTGTAGAAATAAAAAGAAGAGAACCAAATATCATCATTCTTGAACACACCCATATTATTTAATTTTTTCATCATTTTCGATGCAAATGCAGGATAATCACAATTAGTTAAATATTGAGCTAATTCCAAACGATACGTGTGACAATCAAAATATGATCGACTTAGTTGTTTACCAGTTTCATACATTGAGCGTAGATCTGTCATATCATCCAAACTACGGAATACTTCCATAATTTGATCGATAAAGTTCTTTGCTTCTTCTAAAGTGAAACCTTTACGACATTGTGGGATTTCTATAGGACGTTTAGAAATTGGCTCTGGATGATCCATTCTTTTGTCTTGATTAATTTATACGTATAAATATAATTACATACAACAAAAGTACACAGAAAATATTATTCAGTTGTGCACATTGACAAACAATCAGACAGAGATTGAAACGAGCGTAAATAAATTGAGGTGGCTATCGAATGAATAATTTGAATACTTGCTAAGAGATTGGAACTACAAATTTTCACGAATTCACCTTTAAATATTTCCGACGCTTTGATGTCTTAAAATGACTAATTAGGCGTATTGAAATTTTTCAAGCTAAAATGAAAGAAAAAAAGGAATGAAGTATATATTTTGCACAATACAGACATAATCTGCATGTTTAAAGCATCAATATTTGATTGAAATACTCCAAAAGGTTCCTAACTGATGGTCCTTTGCTTTACTGGACAACGATTTCGAAATCACCTCTAAACTTAGATTGTATCACTGATAGCAGTAACATGATATTAGTTCGATATTTATGACTAAAGATTACTTAGTAACACTGAATTCGTACAAACTATTTGTCGTATAATATTCCACCGTTACAACAAATAGTAAAGTATTTGTTATAGATGATTGACAGATATAGATTTTCATACTATACTACATCTAGTTGCCCAGATAGTCTCGAAAATTATTCATCATCAGTGGTATAAAAAAGTTTTTATATTGATGCCTAATGAAACTAAATGAACAAGACTTTTATTATTAATTTGTACTAAGTAGTAGTCCTACCAAACCTTTGAATAACGCTAAAAAATAAGGTTATTCGAAACGGTGTATCATAGTATTTGTCTATAATAGACTGTATGAAAGTAGGTATCAACATTATACTACCAAAAAATAAAAAACTAAAGAAACACATACAAAGAAGAAACAAATAATAAACTTCGAGTCATGGATAGAATGAGAGTGAATTAATAAACTAAGCACCAAAAGCCCGACAGCAACCAAACAATTGTTTAAAACGATATAACAATGAACAGAAGACAGGTCAATATCATTAAATAACGATCTCTCCTTCACAAAGAACTAATCCAAAAGACACTAAAAATTGGCGTATCATATCGGTAATTTTCAGTTGAGGTTATTGTGTAAACCAACAATCCCTTAAAAACTGATACAAATTCAAAAATTTCTCGAATGGATATTATCTTATCATTAATGAAACTAATAGATAAGATTTTAAACTTATAGTTAAACATATATGTACCATTCTCTTCTATTCACCATTGATTAGAAGCAGAAGATAAACATTAACAAAATAACAACAAATGGGCAACAAGATATCGGTGAAGAGAACAAACAAACAAAAGAGAAAAGAACATACTCATTCTTAGTTAGTAAATATGTTAAACAGAGAATTCAATAGCTAGTTAGCAAGTTTCTTTAAACCACATTATATTTTAAAATGGATATGACACAGACTAATTACTTTTTCTTTCACTTTATTAATGAAATAAGAGAAGAAAAGATAAGGCTCACTAAGGAGAGAGAAGACAAATAAACAACTAAGTTAATTGCTTCTGGTACTATTTCACGTTAAGGGTATACATATATGTATATATACATATGAGCGCAAGTTAATAAAACTTGAGAAAAAGAGAGGATAACAAATTCTGGAAAAAAAGAATGTGACTGAAGAAAATGAGATTAGAATTTAAAATGCCACCATAGCAGTAATAAGAAAAGGATTGCCTCTCAGTCTGTTGGCAAATAACCCAAACCCATAATTCTTGAATGCAATCTTAAAATGATTCAAAGAGCACACTAAAAAGAAATAACGATCACTTTGATTAACTATTAGGTAAAATATCATTACACAACACTATGTGTTTCTACATTATTGATATATTAATACACCCTATAATCCACTTGATGTCGTTCCTCTCTTGACATCGATCATAACTTTTAATAGAAACTTGAGAAATTTGTCTTATTCTTCAAAATTAGAAAGGTTTCATTGTTTTTTTTTTCACTCAATGAATAAGGACAAGAAGTTGATCCAACTACATCACGTTATGTTGACGAAATTATCTCACTTATATCAAGCTAAGAAAGTTATGTAATGGGAAAATATCAAGTTAGATTGTAAAACTACAATATTTCTATGGTTTAAAACACCATATTTTATAAGTGTAATTTGCAATAGTTCACAGATTGAAACAGAGATATACACTATAGTATTGATTATGACGAAATGATATTTAAACTTGATTGAAGCAATCCATGTACATACCATGCGAACACAGAAACTAAATTACAAACATATATACATACACATAAAATAGTGTAATGTTAGGGCAAACAGAAAAATAGCCAAATCAACAATATATAAATACAAACAAAATGAAAAAGTAGAAAATGATTTCTTTTTTTTACCACAGTCAATTTATTGACAAACAAATGTACATATGTACATGTATATTATGACTACAATAATATCTACTGGTGTTATTTTTTTGGTACAAATATGTCTAAATAAGGAAATAAAAAAAAAACCCAGATGGTAGTTTAACACACACGTTGAAAATATAAATAAATAAATAACTGGTTTCATCCATTTTGATGAAGGGTATCGTTAGTTCAATATGGACTGCAGAATTTTCCTGAGAGGTGAAATAGAACAATTATAAATTCATTTGCTTCTATATAGTTGAAAAATTCTTTGATTCATCATATAATCATATTTGATGATTTGATAAATTCATAGTCCCTCTTTATATAAAAATAAAAATAAGAAAACGAACAAATCATAAAAGAAGAATTATGATATATTACAAATACACATTTAATTAAACAGTAAATTAAGTAATGCGAGTAAAAACTATATTGCTAATATACTGTAAACAATGAAGCAAGATGATGTAATAATCTTTCGGAATGAGGATTAATGTCCAACAATATATAAAATAACACGAGTAATTCAATAATAACACATTAAACAGTGACGAATCAAGACAGATCTTTGAATGTCAAAAAGCAGTGAACCAGTTCTTCAGGGTTAGATGTTAGATAGAAAGCGTAAAACGTTCAGTAAATGACTTCATGCTGTCCTTTATTCAACCAAACAAGATTTGATATTAAAGTAAATTTCAGTTGACGACTAAAGTGAAAACTAAGTCGTAATAAAACCTTGGTTTAACGGATATAATATAACCTGACAATAAAAAAATGACACAGATTAGCTATCCGAATAATAATTATAATAAAAGACAGAAGTGGAAACTCATCAAAATATACCGGGCGTTGACAATGCATACAAATATTTTGTAAACATAACTAATTTTGCACAGAAACAGAGTTAAAACGGTTCAGTTGAAAAATTTTGAATAATGTTTGTGTTTATAACTACTAAACGTAGATAATATCAATGAATACAAACCTATTTTCCTATAGACAATGTACAATTTAAAGCATATGACAGTAGACTTTAAAAAATAAGTTAAGCATACTCTATAAATATATACTGCGTATACTGAACTTGTAACTTATGTGGATCATTTTTTCTTTAAAAAGAGGATAACTGGTAAGTGTACGGTTTGCCATATTACATTGTTGGTCATACATAGCTTCTTCAATGGGAAGAAAAAAACTAATAAAACCCAAGATTAATCGACGGTTTTTGTTACAATAAGCTTTATATTATCTATATTAATGCTTGATATCAAAAGTTAATTAGTCGTTGACGACAAATGACAACATATTAAATGAGCAAAGTGTGAACAAAAATTAACCGGACATAAAAGTCAGAATAATACAATTATAAATGATAATAAGGAACTAAATTTAGAGAATATGATTCTTGATCAAATTAACATATCCATTGTGAATAATTAATAAGATAAAGAAACAGAAAAACCGAACACTTAAAAGTTTGTCTATATATATATATATATATATATATATATATATATATCATAGAGAATTAAACAAGGTGTAAAAAACGACCGATAAATAGCAAAATCACGACCGAATTTAATGATCCTCAATAGAATCGAACACACCGCATAAATGTTGTGCATTTCATCAAGATACAGTGAGTATTTTTTAAACCTAAATTTGAATCTATCACCAATCCACGATATAATTTGATATACATCGAAATGATTTTTCCCTTCCTCCTCAGCTTATGATGATATGAAATTCGTGTTAACTTCAACTATCTCAACAGTGATTCGAATAAAAGAAATAAGTATTTCGGTAAGCAAATGCAAAGATAGTTTGCCAAATACCGCTGAATTACAATTTTTACAAGGAAAGTTGGAGATGCAAAAAAGACGTTATAAAAAGTGGATTGGATGAATTCATTATCGAAGTATTACAATGTAGATAACAATGAATTAAATAGGTAAAGTGGAAACTTTCCATTTATTCTAATGAATGAAAAACAAAAATTCACCGAAAATTCCTTTATTAAACTTTGTCTTTAATGAGGACGAAGAAAGAAAAAATTAGATAAATAGTACTTATATGTACAAGGATATGTTGAAAAAGTTTCAGATTAATTCAATGTCAATAATGATCCAATAATAATGTAGACATTATTCAGATTACTGATCCGTTACTCGTTTAGTGGACGTCACAACCAAAAAGGTCGTCTCACTTCTCGACACAACTCAGTCCATAATAGTACGCTAACAAAGATTTCACTCGAACATTACATTTACAGATTTGCTTCACACTTCACATACAAAAATACTGACGACATTAGATCAAGACATAAAATATTTCCATCTTTTATGGTCCACGAAAACAAATGATCCGATTACTATCATACATCATAAATTGAGATCTAGTTCAACTATGTACATTCGAGGTTGGAAAGATATTTTACTGAAGAATAATAGTTGTTGAAGATTGTTGTCAATGGTTATCAATGAACTCTGATTTTGTAGGTCTACTTTAATGCAATCTAACTTTCAATAAATGTACTATATATCATTTAAGACCATGCAACAACTATATACATATTAATTAGGAGAATAAAGAGATAAGTTTAGTCAAGAAAGCGTAACGAAAATACACCATGCACATATATGTATGTGTAAACTATTTATGTAAGGTATTGTCCAAATAGTTTAATAAGTTCTTTACACTTACACGAACGATGCGATTGTACATGTAAACAAATGCATATAGGTCATTTGATTTGGTGTGATGAGGAGTACATAAACGTCATTATTATGTATATGACCTGATTAAAATGAGCATTTAAAGAAGAATCGGTTACTCCTCACAACCACAAACGTATTGACTAACGGGCCACAACGCCGCAATAAAAGGATATCATTTGATGAACTAAGAAATGATATTAATATTTCCTTTGAAAAACAAAACTGAATAACCAATCTAGTTGTCTTCGACTAAGATATCATTTCAAGAAAACAATCAAAGTTGTAAACTAACACTATGTTAAAAATTATGTTTATACGAATTATAGCGTCGCATTTGATGAATATTGATGCAACTTAGGAATAAACTGTACTATAGCGCCAGTCATAGGAGCATTATCTGCATAAAACAAATACACTTTAAAAAAATAGTATTCCTCCATCCATATCGATCATTATGATAGCTAGTCGGTTTGAGGTGATACTTGAAACAAATTTTGTAAAAACAAACAAATCGAAAAGTTTGAAAATACATTCAAAAAAATACAAAACACAGACAACTGACCAATGCAGGATTGTGGTATGTGCTACTGACATCGATATATATGAGTAGTATGTATCACCAATCAAAAGTGGAATGCCTGACTGATGAAAGTTGATGAAACAGAAGAAAACGAGCACAAAGAATGGTTAGTGTGGAAGCGAAAGAACAATGAAGTATTAGACAATTGATGGATATTTTGCAAATAAAGTATTTACCGTAAGGTTCTTAGATTTATTAACAGTTGTCTAAGCAAAATACTTCGGATCCGTTGGCCAGGCACTTTCAGCAACATCCTACTGTAGGAGTGAAAAAAACAGATTCCATCCAGTGGAGGAAGAAATCAGGAAGAAGCTCTGGAAGTGGATAGGACACACATTGAGGATAGCACACAACTGTGCCAGAAGGCAAGCTCTCACTTGGAATCCGCAAGGCCAAAGGAGAAGACCAAACAACACATCACGCCGGGGAATGGAGACAGACATAAGAAGAATGAATAACAATTGGATAGAACTAAAGAGGAAGGCCCAGGACAGAGTGGATTGGAGAATGCTGGTCGGCGGCCTATGGTCCATTGGGGGTAACAGGTGTAAGTCTCAGATTTTACCAAGATATTCTGTAATGTATAAAAATACATTTTGGTTGTCCCAATGATGTTCTCGTTCACGACAAAATAAGTTCAGCGAAGAAATGCTATGAGATTTATAAAAATGACTAGTTTTTTAACTACACATGAGGCAAAATCTAAGTAGTTTATGTTTAATGGCTTCTGATTAATAAATACTGTATCGTTCTTACTTTAAACTTTTAGTTTAGTAATTTACTGTTCTACGGCGCAACAAAATATATTCATTGAAGGTTTTTCTATTATGACCCGTATATTATTGTGAATTTCCTAATAAAGAATTCACATGATCAATTTGTCATTAAATCAGTCTTTTGAAGATTTATCTGATTGAAATTTGAAGGCAAAGTATACTGTTAATAAATTTCTTGGTTCGATCAAGTTGTTTATTCCTATAATGTAAACAACTCAGAATATCACAAGTGTACCCGACATAATTACATTGCCATTATAATAATAGGCAAATAAGAAAAACAGTTTAACTTCTACAATGTGATGCATATCTATGCACATACTTTGCATGTATCTACTATCTATCTGATATACATTGAAATTTTGATATAATCTGCATTTTTTGCTAATTCTCTTCATCATTTATCTATGATTTCATAATAATAAAAACTTAGGAAACCTGAAGAAAAATTTGGTGAAACAAAAAAGGAGAGACGATAACGAAATAAAGATCTACTATTTCCACAAGGAAGAAATAAGAAGAATAAAGAGTAATATAATTTGCAAGGTAAAAACATAATTTTTGTTACCCTCTCTCCTTAAATATATATCCATTTTTCAATGGTAGAAATAGTTATTCAAAGCTTAACCAATGAACGTTAAAAATAGGATGAAAAATACACAACAAAACACACGTTCACCACCACCACTAACATAATCATCATCAGCAATAACGACAACAACAGGAAGAACAATAAAATTATATCATCCACATTACTGGTCGATCGATCGACCAGTCAGTTTAGCCCGGAAGAAAATATCAATCGATAATACTTCTAGTTCTCGTTAGTTAGTTTAAGTTAGTGTCTAGTTGACCAAAACATTGAAAAATCAGAATTAGAATAATTTGGCAGGAAAACTTATTTTTCCTTTGTAAAATTTGTATACGTGACTACTTATAGTATGTCACACGTGGAGGTAGGAAACAGTGAAGATTAACAATAAAGCCGAAAAAACAACAGATTGAGTGTCTCTGTGTGTATATATGTGTATATACATGAATCTATTTTTCATGACCAGAACACAACAGTCGACTACTTTAATCGAGTGCTAAAAGGATAAACATGAGGAATAAAGTTTGGATAGAGTGACAAATTTTATAAAATGTTAAAAGTTCAATTTAAACACTTTATCAAAGTCTTAGTTGTTACCTGGATTACCATAATGATTATTATTGACCCTAGATATTTAAGTGGATCAACAAACAAACAGAATATGTTAGTTATTCCAATCGAAGATAAAATAGTAATATTCTAGGTATGTCGAAAATGTATCAGGAATCAACAGTAATTCTTCTTATCTCATGATGAATTAACCAGTCCATTGTAAACAACTTAGAATTTGGCATAAATGTCCATTGATCTAAAGTGTCAAAATATATTAGCACTTTAAAAATAAAGAAAAAAGTAACCAGATGAACAGGAAAGTAATCGAAATAATAGTAATATAATAGTGAGGAAGACTAAAAAGGGGAAGAATATAATTCGTAGGAATAGAAATATGAGGTTACATTGAAAATGTAAAGTTAAGAAAGAAAATATAAAAAAACGTTTGTATTGCTATGACCCATTTCCAAATGATGTCACCTAAGGTGCTTAATCACTGTGATTATGTGAATCTGAACCGAGAAAAATATAAATTGGCCAAGACAGTGATAATGAATATTCAATGAACTCGTGAACAGATGGCCTACGTATTATGACTTAATAGGTTGAAGACGATGTAGTAAAAGTTTAAAACAAAACCAAAAGTTGAAATACTAACAAAATAGATGAATAAAGAGAGTGAGAGAAGTTAGACGGAAAGATAATAATAATAATAATAAACACCTGATGAAATACTAAACACGAAGTGAACTAATGGATAGTATCTTATATAAGTCTTTTATTGTTTAACCAAAATCAGCTTTGAAACTTCCATTCAAAAAGTATACTATTTTTCATGTGATCAAATACGTAGATAACTTAAAAATCAAAGTGAATAGAGTTGAATTTATTTGTTGAATGGAGTTAAGACTAATAATTCAAGTAAAACCGAGCAAACAATCAAGTTTAGATAGAAAAAACTTTAGGAAATAGACATGCCAAATCAGTTTGCCTATCAAATGCTATTCCATTGCACTACAAAAACATGTATATAACTTTAAATACAAAATCTACGCAACACGATAATGTGGATAAAGATAAACACAGGTAGGCATTTGATTCATCTAAATGATATGATCTAATTCAAATTGATATATATATATATATATATATATATATATATATATATATATATATATATATATCGGGTTCCGGCATCTAGATCAATCATTAGCCTTCTGAGTCAATAATTCTGTCACAACATGTGCGGTAATCCATATATAATCAATTTCTCATGTTTGAATAAACTGAATTCAGTTGTTTATTTACGAATTACCGCTTGTATTATGACGAAACTATTGATTAATAAAATTACTGAAATAGTTCAGATGACGGGAACAGATCGTTTGCTTGCAGAGTTGACTTCTGTGAAGCCTAAAATAATAAATTTAAGAAACGATAACTGTTAGTAAACTAACTTCAGTATACTGAAGGATTGTCGTTTATATATGAAAGCTTCAGTCGTATTAGTACAACTAACCATAGTTCACAAAATAATTACATTAGATACAACTTCTATAACTAACGAACGTCAAAACAGATCATAACAAACGTTTTATATTATGATATCTATTGACATGTGAAAAATCCTTCATACATTTGATTTGTCAGATTAAAACAGTTTGAGTTTTTAAAAAACGAAGTGACCTATATGCAATTGACACTTTTTCCCTTTAATCATATCAGTGAAAAGCAAACATTAATACAGCGGAAAAATTGTGTGGTACAATAACTATTTCGCCGAAACCACCATAAAATATAACATAATCCCCAGAAAAAAAACTGTCATAATGTAACGTGTTAGCTTTATCCAAAAACATTGGTATGAATTAACCTTTTGCTTGTTATGAAAGGACGTTTGGGGATAGATAAATGAACGGATAAAATGAGTTGATCGATAGACCAAATGCGACGACATGATGTGACCGATTTGCTGACGTAAGCCTCCGAATGAACTGATATTAGAAGACAAGACAGTTATCTAGTAGAATAAGTGTTTCCATGTCAAAATAACACACATTTAGAATACTGAACAAAGGAATAAACATAATTAGACATCGCTGAACAAATGAACGATTTGAGAATACAAGAACTCCAGATAATTCACTATTTAACGCAATCAATGTCCAAATACTAGACTTCAATTTTGCTTCGTCATATTATCACAACATCATTACAAAAATATCGAGAGGATGGAGCGAGGCAAACATAGTGGTTAGTGTGCCGAGATTTCAACAAGTAGATTGTGGGTTCAAACTTTACTTTTCTTTGAACAGACTGACAGTACCTACTGGAAATTGCGCTCCGAAAGCGTGCAGCTCAAATCTGAGTACGTAGATCTATACTAGGCACATGAGTAACGTAATTGTAAGTATGAAAATATATAGACACTATATAACCATATACTATACAGTAGTGAAGAAAATGTCAGGTAAAAAAGTAGTATTAGCAGTCGGAGGTTAAATTGAAATGAAAATGCTTCTCAAATAACGAGCAAACGAACTTTCTTAATAATCAGAATAGACTAGAAAAAGTTAAGTACGCAATATAAATCAACAACATATGGAAAAAGTATATGGACAACTAGGACTAACATAGAAAAAGCAACAAATTAAATGTGTTTTGGATTAAAATAACACAAAGAAGCAAATACTATTCTTCATACATCATTATCGCCATCAATCTATAAAAAGTAGTGGAAAATAATAACTACGAAAATCCTCTAAGATAAAATAAGATATGAAGCGAGATAAGTTGTGCAAATCTGAGTAAATCCCATTTACATTAATTTTTGTTTCTCTCCTCCCTCCATAGCTGTGTCCAGTCAACTATTCTCCTCTTTATTGTAAAGCTTCGATCCATTGAATATAATGACATGACGAAATCGGGGAGAAGTAATCAACTGATAAATTTGTCAACAAGAAAAACTTGGACTTTTGCTTCCGAAAAAAACAGACTAGTTGACATGATTTGCAAAAAACAAAGAAGTCTTTAGAGCATTCGACCTTTTGTCATTAAGTATCAGGTTCAAAATCCAATCCGCATACTTGGATGTCAGCATCCAGTGTTGGCAAGTATCATTAGCCCTCACACACTTAGAGTGTGACTCATACTCAAGTATCTGGTTTATGAGTGCATTCAACTTTCGGATCGGTTATAGTAACTAGTTTTACCAAGTAAAAATTCAGTTATTCGACTTTGTTAATGAATCCTTCTTGTAGTATACGCGACTACTACTTAAAGTTAGATGATCTGTTCAAGGCTCGAATCTGTAACAAACTTGATGTTGAAATCAAATGCATAAATGATTAAGCCACAATAACCAGCCCTCTTTATCTCTATTGGTAGGATAACGGCTATGATAGTTGGGTTAGTGTCTAGTAGCGGATCTAGGATGTACTCATCATCTGGATTTACCTATATCCCAATGTTATTAGCTTACCATGGGACAACGGAATATTAACGGAAATATAAACTCTTAATATAAAGTTATTTATCTAAAACCAGCATAAAGTTTGCTTAACAACACCAAAAGACGCATTCACCACGCCAATCACTAAATCATAACATATACTAAATGATGGCAGACAATAATTTGACATTATATAATAGATGGAATTATTGGTGAAAACAAGTCAACCGCTCACCTCCTGTATAATTCACTTTATTCGATACTAAAATATCTGCTTGCAATGGAGTCATTTGTAGATAATGTGAATCAGGATTTTTCTAGAATAGTATAAAACAGAAAAACATATTTGGTGGTAATATCACAATTCTAAATTGCAATTAACCAGAAAATTAACACTCTGTTACGGCTCGAAATGCACTTACGTGACCATGCGCATATAGCCACAGCTAGTGAAGTTCTTATCATTTCCTTCTTGTGGAGAGGGTGGTTTTTGCGAAATTGAGAGGACAAGAAGCGAATGTCCAGAACTTAAACCGTGTTAGTTGGTACGGAGAATCTACCTAAGGGAGTTAGAAAACCCTGATACCAAAGCAATAGGGCATATGGGTTCCAGGATCTCAAAGGAACAAATGGTGTATTCTTGGTTACCGGCTATCGTGCGATCACAACTCAAAAGATTGTTCCACTCCCTTGTGGATTACACCTTTAAGTCAAAGACTCGGGGAGTGGCCTCCTAAGAAAATCACCTGCTTAAGCTTTCGCACCCGGACAGTATCCAACTCCATACACAAGTTCAATCATTTCTGTGGAGTATATATATTATGGTGCTTCTTCGTACTAATGTTTATGTGTTTAGAAAAATACAATAAATATGTCTTTAGTTAATTTCGAACAAAAATGTTCGAATAACTTAACGTGATGAAATAAAAATAAAGTAAGTCGTGTTTAAACACCGCCTGATATACATCACTTGTAAAAAGAACGATATATTGCGTGTTGTATACAATCTTGTCAAAAAATAAGCTAGAGAACTACAATTTTTTGATTTGCTTAATTGTTAATCATAGATAAGAATTAAGTTGTATATCCATTGAAACAGATTAAATGTTAATATCAGTTTGTTCACAGATCTAAGACGATTAAGGTTAATCGTATTTACCGAACGCAACTATTCAGTTAAAAACAAGATAAGCTAAATCAACTGACATAATTCAAAACTTCTATAGTTTAATACGCATTGAAATTTCCAAATACTACATCTTAAACTTTGAGCGCCACACATATGCTTTCAGTTTTAGACGAATTCATTTTAAAATTTAGAAGCAATATAAACATACCTAAAGTGGAAATTAATTACAGATTATTGTTTATTATTCTTTTATTAAACTACAGGGCAGGAGTTCCTTTATTGGTAACGACTGTTAGGAAATTTAGAAAACATATATCACAGAATTCATAATATTCATCCTAAGAGGTTAAGTGAAGTTGTAGAATACGAAGTGCCGAACTCCATTTCGGCATCTTATTATAGTATCGAGCCTGAAGCAAATGTAGCATGGATCGTCAAGGTTTGATCAAGGAGTGTAAAAACTGGATCACGACAATAAATTAAAGTTGCTATCAAGTCCTCCATGTGTTTTCAACGATTCCATAACTAATGTCAGCCCCTATGATCAAGTTTATATTCCAGAATATATGAAAAATTAACCAGTGAGAAAAAGAACTGTAATATCTTTCTGAAATATCATAAGTAACAGAATATATATATATATATATATATATATACGTTTATTGCTTACAATGAATTCCTCATGTAAAACTGGACCCATTGCTTCAGAAACAATTTCATCTACTAAAGGATACGTCTGACAAAGATACTGAAATTTTCAACAATAAAAAAGCACAAAAGTTTATGGCGATTATCATTGTTATTATTATTAGTCGAATTATCCATTACTTACTTTAGTTTGATTCCATAATGTCTTTTCTAAAAAGGTATCATACTGAAACTGGATTCATTTAATGACTAAACTTATCAATGTTAGGATGCAACAAGTATTTGTAATAATGCTTATATACAACGAAACTAAAATTCGAATAAACTGGATATTTAGAGAACTCTTTCTGTCTTTAGAGCTTAAATGGTATGTGCATCACTTAATAAGTGAATAAATAGAATCGATCCAAAAATATTATGAAAATATAATGAAAGGTTTGAAACGATATGATAACTGTCAATGTGACTCAACTTGATCCATCTCCTCCTCCCACTAATTGTTTAGTAATTGAGTAACTTATTTAGAATACTTAGCTTACTTATAAAAGCCATGTAAGTTATTAGTAATAGTAATAATGATAATAACAATAATTAAAAATCTCATAATGATAATCATAAAAAAGTCGACTCTAAGTTATGTACGCGAATTCACATGCTAATGATCTCTAAACGAAGATATACAACATTTAGAATAGATCCCATTACCAATCAGATAACGATTTTGTAGAAAATGTGAGACATTTTAATTTTCTACTTAATTATTCTACAAACGAATCATATCATTTAATGAATTAACCATTTACTTAATAAATCTTAGTTGCATCTAGTAGTTACAAATTATATCGCTAATTTAAATAAACAAATTTAATATTTTGTTTCAAGTATAAAAGAACTTAAAACTAAACTCTAAAATAAATAATATAAATGATTAACTTTTACCTCTAAAGCTAAACTAGCTTGTCGTTGACTATCCGAAAATTCAAGATTACCCATAGCATATAAAAGATTTGATAGAGCACCCATCTAGGAGAAGAAAAATGAATGAATGATAATGATGATATTGCGGATGCCAAATACTAAATTACAACTCGTGAAAATCAAATCGATGTTGATTAGGTTAAAATTCTGTTACAGTAAATTATTATTTCATATGAACATTATTTATTGGAATTTTAATACATTTCAAAGATATTTTGAGTTAGTGATAAATACTCAGTATTAGATTTTTTCCACTGATATGTAATTGAGAAATTTCCATATCTTTCTGGTTGGTTACACAAAATCAATATTACATAGCTTCATCTACAAAACTGGTGTTTTTATTCTAGCGAGGAAGGAGTAGGAGAAAAATAGAGTTAGTTTTTTTAACATGGTATTGATATTGGAGTAGCGAGAATGATCAAAACAGTGAATGAACGTATCAGATGGTGAGGATAGCAAAATGTTTAAAAAAATCATAATCAGCTTAAGTAAATGATTTAGTCAAAAAGAAAATTTTCTCCGCTGAATTCTTTTTTACTTATTCAGTGACACTATGGGTTAGTTTAATTACATAATAACTGGCTAAGTGAAATTAATCTGATTTAGTATAAAGTGAATGGAACAGTGTGAATTTATATTTCCAAAAAAAGACATAACACGTATACAAACTTTCTCCCAAATAAATATTCTCACACGATTCATAATTGCCAAGCTTCAATAACGAAAAGAAGAACAAAGTAACATCCAACTATTCTTTCAATAAATAAAAAAGAGCACAGAGCACGATTGGAAACGAGTCGTCACAAAAACAAAATGCTGGAAATCAATTTAAAAACAACTGATAAAGAAGACGACAATGAACTTCACCACAACAACATTAACACAAAGATAGATAATTCAATACATAGAGATGATAAATCAGTTGATAAAGATGTAAAACTAAAATGGTTAAAGCACGTGTATACAAAATCTTTGCACTATACAAGCTGATTTATGACCATTTAACAAATTATTATTTCGTTGATAGATTTTTTAGAGAAAAAAGACAAATAGAGAGTAGCCTACAAAATTGACTTCATTTACTATGATTAAAAACCTCAAGTGATGAACGCGTTAGACTCAGTGAGTTACAAGACGACATCAAAATACTTACCTTGATTATTTTTCTTGATATTGTTGAAGAATCTTGCGAGAGAATGCTTTGAATGCACAAATTAGTAAGAGGTTAGTAAGAAAGGAAAACAAAAGAAATATATATAGGGATGTATATTTAAATGTTACAAAAAAATCTATACAGTAATATAATTCAACAGCTCACCAAAAATGATATTGTGGTGTATGCTACTTATGTCAACAAATATAAGTAATACGTAGCACCAATAAGTAGTGGAACGCATGAAAGTAGAAGGCTAAGAAAATTGAGTTGACGGAAACAGAAAGGGAAATAGAAATGATTTGTGAATTGGAGGAATCATACAGAATGTGAAGGACAATTGATGGGAGATTTGCAAACGAAGTATTTAATTTATGGTTATGATATTTTACGAAGAAATTCTGTAATTTTGTATTAAACAATAAATTGGTTTTCCCTATCCGGGTATCCGTTCACAACAATATCACTGCATAAAATAAATCTTTATATAACAACCACTTTCAATGATAAAAATAGATAATAATAGTGTCTAGCTTCAATGGATGGTCAACATAAAACAAATGGTTAAAACCGACTTCATTGGATTTTGTAGAGATTTAGTTGAAGTTATGAGTGTGAACCCTTAGGGTTATCTCCAGAATGTATATGAACACTTCAAAGATGTGACATTTTTCAAGTACTTTTTGGTTTTTAATACACCTTACATGATGTTAGGTTATAATTAGAAATATAGTTTTCATTTCAACTGCACCGAATTGCAAATAAATCAAAGTTGGGTTATCATATATAAACAGTACATGGAAATTGAATGGTAGTGCTGGTTAATAAATCCGAAAATAGTGAATTTAATTCAGATTTATAGTCAAAAATTTTGAACGCTTGATTAAACCTCATGATTTTGCGTTGATTCTCTATTAGATGTAAAAAGCCAACTAAGCATTAGTTAACTTTCAAAAACTCATTGAATTTCTACAACCTTTATTAAAACTTTATATAGAGTTTAATAAACAATCTCTCCAAATTAGATTCAATCAATATACATTAAGGTAATGTTAAGACTAGAATTAATAAAAGATACAATGACTCTATTTATTAATACGTATTACTACCATATGATGACCATCGAAATGTTATTAAAAATAAAAAGCAAGTGTTTGTTTATTAAACTGATTTGATATATATATATATATATATATATATATATATATATTTACAATTCAGTCACATGTGCCCATAAATCGAGGTTTTTTGCCATTTCATAGGATAAAAGACAATACTAATCATGACAGACATGAACATACAGTTTAATCTGTCATACATATGTATATATCCCTACGGATAAAGTGGAATATTGAAATTGAAGAGAAACTATTATTTCTTTATACCAAGAAAAATATTTTTCTTTATAAAAAGTAAGTGGGTAACTATTCTAATATAAAATTGATATAACTGTCATATCAAAGAGTAATCATCCACATATGAACAGCATGCTCGAAAACTTATTATTTTTCTGTTGGAAAATAAACACATTAGAGATAGAAAACTGAGTCATTTTACACTGAATCCTATCAGTGGTGTCACAATGCCTTTTGTTGTTAGAATATCTACAGTAATAAGAAGTTTTAAAAAATTGACATTGATTGAATGAATTTATTACAAAAAGTAGGTTATACAGTTAACATACATAAAATAGAAAAATACAGCCACACATTACGTATACATATAAACGTCCTACACATCAGTTGTTGACTGCACAAAGTCAATTATCTGCTTTAAAGTATATTGAAGTATTTTTATATGAGATAATCGTGATTGGCGATTAAGAGTAACAAAATGATTTGTGTTTGTTAATTCTATTCGGGAATCAAAAGTAGGAGAACTTAAGAGGATCTATTACCTAAACAAAAGGTTATTTGCTTGAAATGTTCACAAGATAAATTTTCTGAATACTAGTAGCAGAACAGCAAGTGATTTCATGGATTTTTCTTTCCTTGGTCATCTTTAAAGTGTCTAGACCAGTTTTGTATTTGCTAAGCACGTATACAACAACTGACTACTGAAAAGTTTTAGCTGACGGATGAATAACATTGAACTTCCCAAAGAAACAGTTGGTTCTAAAAACCGATTGAAGAGTCTGGAACATTCGTTACGCATGAAAATCCACTGTCTACTGATGGAAATAAGTAAAGCCATTATACACTGATCTGAGTTACCCAGACTTCAAAACTGATGTATTCATTTCCTAATTTCTATTGTTCTTCATACCATAAACATTTCGTTATCCCGCATCTATCTACCACCTATATACTTATCAACTTTATTATGTTCCTCCTAGCACTGGAATACACCGTTTCGTGAATATGTAATTTTAACTGATGTACTTATCGTGTGAGATCCTAAGCTGATAAGTTTATTTATCACTTTTACACATATAAACTGAGTACTGATCATCGCCGTACTTCGAAAAAACGAAGTTTACTTTCCTTAAGAAAGCCAACAACAAAGTATTAGAATTTGAAAACTGTTACGATGAATGCATTCATATTACAGTCGGAACTTCAGCGAAGTATTTCCAAAGAGGCATTTCAAAGAAAAGAGTGCGAGATTGAAGCACTAGAAAAAGCAAAGCAAACAGTTCACTCTTCTGTGTTTTATGTGTAGGTAGGGAAAATCGAAATCTGTAGTGAAGACGAACACCCTACAGCCTACACTGTTTTGTAGTGCAGACGGTCGTTACAGTGCATACTTTCCCATCACTTTCGGAAACTTGATAAAATCTAGAAAGCGTTGAGAGATACAATTAATACATCAGTATGGGACGTGGAACTTTCGCAAGTATGCTTTATATGTGTACACAGAATGCACACATCAAAAACACATAAATTCTTCAGTACACACATGAGCATTGACGCGCTCAGTCACAGGTTACATGTATATGAAGAATGCATAGACTCAGATCTATACATCTCATGAGACACACATAGGTAAAGATCCTATCGCTCACAAGTATACGTTACATGCACATATAGAGTGAATAGACTAAGGTCCAAACACTGCATAGTATACTCACACCAAGCCATGGTCTAGAGGTTACCAAACTTTGAATGAATAACAAATAACCAAATCAATTCGGATACAAGTCGTCACTGACGAAATGCTTCCATAATGCTCATGTCACAAGCAAGCTTAGTGTCGACCCACTACGCACTAGTTACAGCACAGTTTATGGTCTTCACTCCGACCCACCCCTGACAGACATAATAATCATTTCCAAAACGAATCCAGTCAGGCGCCGAAAGGAAACCTTTTCTCCAGCACTACACTTCACACACATCAATACAAAGTTAACCGCCCCTCCCTACTAATCAGATTCTAAAACAGAAAGGGTGATTAGCTTAATCTCTATCTGTGATAGAGTGGGTGGTTAACTCGGTATTTACTTAACCTCTCGCGTTAGCTCATGAACAGAGTTCATTAACTCCACGGCACTAAACAGACCACATGAACCAGTTCGTATTAGTAGTCAAAATATGCAAGAACAAGTAGATAAACAATTATTGAACATTGCTTACTGTAGACATTTAGCTGCAGCTGCTTGTTGAACAAACACCGATAATGGTTGATTACCATCGAATTCTGAATCTGATTCTTGACTTTGATGTCTATGTTTCTTTTTTACCATTTTTTCTGTTTTATCGCTGTTACCGTTAGCACAAGTGCTAGGATATTTGACATTCAATTTGGTCGACTTTGTGTTGCTCATAGATCGAGGTTTCATTTCTGGTATGCCACTAATATTACGACTACCTAACGGGGCAGGATGAGAAGCTGAAAAAAAGATATGGCGACAAAAAGATATCAAACAAATGGTATAGTGTTTAGTAATTATAAGTCAAAGTATTGTATAGGTGGTTCTAATATATACCAAACTAAGAGTTAGGGACGAACCGAGACAGGTTTTTCAAACAATTACGAGTATTTAGTCCTGATGTACACACTGCTTGATATGGTTATCAATACAAAATTCAAGTAATTTATATGGTTACATACACCCTGAATTTACTACAATCAATATATACTTGCCTCTTGTTCACTCCTTTTTTCCTTACCAACTAAACATTCATTGATTATCGATTTCTTTATTGTATTGTATTATGTAAGAAGTGTGGTAAGTTGATGGAATATACAACCAAGACTCTATAATGTTTCCTCTTATGATCGATTATGAAGTTAGATAACAGTTCATGGTATAGGTACATGAATAATAAGGTTGAAAATAGATATTATCAATGTAAAATGACTTTTCTACAGCTGACTTCTGTTAATTATCATTATATTGAAATTAATGTCAACTCGGCATTGTAAAATATCATTAGAGTATGATATTGAAAATTATGTAGACAATTTAACAGAGCCTAGCGAACTTCTTTAGACAATCATTTGGAAACATAACAATAAGGGAAACTAAAAGTTTTCTACTACTTACATAGTTAAATTATTGCTTTAGTATATGTATAGGACATATATCAATTTTACTATTCTGAACAATCAAAAACAGAATATCAAAGAAATGTTATTTTTACGATCAAACGATTTATTAAAACTTACGATATCTTTCCTCATTACTGTCCATATGAGGTGAATTTATTTCATCATCGTTATCATCCGATGTTACTTCTGTAAACAATTTGCCCAATTGTATTTCATGTTGAGGTTTCAACAAGGTAATTAAGGCCACTAATATATCATCGGCAATATCGAATCCCATCAGAACACGAACTAATTCAATAACTAATACATATAAACGAAAATAGAAACAAAATAATAGAAAAAATAGCACTACAAAGGAAATATGATTGTCGATGTGATCCAACGAAAAAGTGTAGAATTTACTGATCTAAAAACTATACAATTTAGTGGCTCTACATCTGACTTCATTTAAATCGTATGATGATCGTTATAGAAATATACATACCGCCAACCCTCGCATATGTTTATCGTTAGAGCATAACGGAATAAAATAAGTCAAATAAGATCATTGATCCGAACAGACAATTACAGAAACGAAGCAACGCGCAGCGGAGATGGTAAGTGAGCCAAATCGATTGAATTAAGCATGACTCAATAGTTATATTCAAACAAAAGTAAGCTACAGACACGCAATGAATGACTGAGCAATTAAAAAACATACGATCATATAGAAAGTCAGGATTAGTAAGTGAATGATTGACAAGGTCAAAATACGGCTTAAGAATGAATAAATTGGTCGGTACAGAAGCCAGAATAACCTATATGAGATTGACATAGCACCAACCACTACAACAGTACCTTGTCGTCATTGCAACTTTAGTAAACTAATTAGTCTGCAGTTCCTAATGTCGAAAAGACAATTAAAAGAAGCTATATATATATATATATATATATATATATATATATATATATATATATATATATATATATATGACTATTTTAAAAGGTTATGGGCATCTGAAAAAGATATCAGCATTCGAAACCAGGGAGATGATATAGTAAATTCTATGCATATTATACACACATCATGGAGAAAATATAACGAAACATAAATGGATTTATAAATAAATCATAAAGCAAATCTTACAAAGAATAATGTTAGGCTAGAATAGAATAGACATTCAGTGATATTTCTATTTACGTCATAAAGAGTCTAGAAAATGCACTTTAATTTATTTATTTATTTACGCAGATATATACTTGAAAGACCTCTAAGATAAATAATCATTTTCGTAAGGAACGAAGTTAAAGACAGAAATCAAGACATCAGATATCATGAAATTGAACAGACTTTTACTGAGAACAACTTTATTTTAAAAACTAATACATGCGCTACATACTTGACAGAAAAATAGTTATAGACTATAAAAGAAAGAAATAATGAATTTCTGACAAACTAGATGTACTATGGCATTTAAAAGAGTAAATAAATCCTATACTTATATTTGCTAGACAGAGCTATATGTAACCTGAACTGATATATATATAACGTACCTGCTGATTGTACTTCCAAATGTAATGACTCCAGTAAGTAGACTATTCTGTCGATTAAGGCCCTATTGGCAGTATTACGCTTTGCCTAAAATAATATTATTATTAATAAAGATTTTTATTGTTTGATAACAAAGCTAATTTACAAAATATAATGATTATTATTAGCGAATAAATCATATAATGATCCTTTTTTATAGTAAAAATCAGTGTTCCAAATCAATGTTTAGAATATATATAGTTACTACTACTGTTGGTGAAGTAAACATTAATACCATGAATACATTGTCGGAAAAAAATGAGCTGATAAATGATAAATAATAATGCAACGTTTAGTTTATTCACATCAAAATTCTTTGGTAAAGATAAAATATTTAAGCAAGCATCACTGATAATCGGAAATCAAAGCTTTAGTTTATGCGAAGATAATTGTGGATAGGATAACTATGATGATATAGGCACATTAGTTTAATGAATGAATTCTGCTAGGAAGCATCTTATAAAATCATAGATGTATATGTTACACAACATTGTTACCATATGCGTAAGTTTCAACTAATCAAAAAACAATTACATACTACCCTGTTGTATCCCGAAGAGAATTGTGAATGGTGACTTTTGAGGACTATTTGTGGACCAATGTAATATGTATATTTTCTATTTTATAATTGTTAAGTAACTGACCTAATCATATTCATGTTCCTCTTATCATTAGCTTTATTTTGACCTTTGAACTATTATTATACGATTCTTGAGTTATCATCGGTTTATTGATTATTTCCCCCCCCCCATTTACAGCCACATTTGGCTAAATATTGTACAAATGTTATTATCTATTTTATGGGTCGATATGGTTTGTTTGGTTGGTATATAAACTCAGTATGTTTGAAATACAATGATTCATACCACTGAAGCTGTTATCGGTGTTTTGGGCTGAACTGGTTGGGCTAGGCAGATCGCAGGATCGGTTAGCAATCTAGTCTGCTCGTACGGTTTCGTGTGTCACTGTTTCAATCGATAATTCGCTGCTCCCTAATTGGCGGTCTCATCAAGCCATCAACTAGGCATCCACTCGGCCACAAGTATAACAATTACCATGCATGTTTTCTTGAATAAATTCCTTGAGATTGTAAAGTAGTTAAAAATAAGAGACTTCATAACTCAAAGTTTATCACAACGATGAATATGCGTTTATTCTTTATCCTTCACTAAATAATAGAAATTTTATGAATGTTTATTTCTTCATTACTTACGCTCGTTACCCCGCGTAGATTGGCATGTACCGCCCACCAGCACTCTCTTTTCGAACTCTATCCTTAGTAATCCTTTCCAGTCGCTATTAATTTTTTCATGTCTGCTCCCAATTCCTGACGTCATGTGTTCCCCGGTCTTCCTCTTTTCGTTTTACCTTCAGGATTCCAAGTTGGGACTTGCAGTTGTTCTCCACAGTAGCTTCCTTATCTGTGAGTAGATATGTAAGGCATGTAACTTGTTTTGTCCGTATATTGAAGGAAGGCTCTATTGAACTCTTGTAATACTGTTTCTCCGGATGCCCAAAGCTTCTTTAGCTTCAATTTCCTGTGGCAACAACCAGCCAGTTGTGTTTTGAAGCTATATCAGCGCCTCTCCTAATTCCCACGCCTTCCACTGACTTTGTGAATGTTTTAGTGATGCAAATATGATGCCCAGGTCCTTTCCTGGGCACTTCATTACGATCAATTACAGCCTCTCTTAAAACTGGTCTATATCGTCTTCACTGCTATAATTGGTGGGTGCATAACACTGAATAATATTTATTGAGCTCTCCTTTGTTTTAAAAGATACCCTGATGATGCATTTTTTAAATTAAAATACTGTTTATTTCATTTTGTAAAATTATGCATTTTGAAATGATGCACTTTATTTCAAAGAAATACAATAATTTATCTGTACACCTATTAGTCTCTCTTGAAGAAAAAATTAGTAAGCTGTAAGATTCGTCGAACAAATTACACTTAACAAAACTCATATTGGATATTTTCAAAAGCCGTTATATAAAAGATCTCAGAAGAATAAAATTTAAAGACTGATGTATCGAGCGTCATTAGAAAAAGGTAATAACATTGTAAATTAGTTACGGATATATATATATATATATATATATATATATATATATCCATGCATTCGATATCGTAGAGCATAACGACAAAACTAAATAACAGCATATTGATAGAGCATAGGATCAACTACATTAGTACATACGGAAATATAATTATTTTTTATAATGTATAGGAATAAGTTATCTTGGTGGTTATCACTATATATATATATATATATATATATATATATATATATATATATATCCAATTATAAACAAAATAAAAGCAAAATGTTGACCTGAAATAATTAGCTGGATAATTATGCAGTATTATATTAGCAGGTAAAAAACGTTTCATGATTTCTCTCTTTCTGTCCCCAAGCTTTAGTATTTTAAATTATGTTTTATCAGCTGACACAGAATAATTAACATTTTTTGGCATGTTAACCAAAAAGTCTCATAAAAATTTGCTGAGAAACGAATATTGTAACAAAGAGAAGATATATGTGCACATCTCTGTGTGTATTTAAGCGAAATTACAAAAGTATTATTTATTCCATGAAATAACATTTTTTGTATAGCATATTTCTCTTGGAATTCATATTAATATTCACAGTTACATAAACGACTACCCTACTGCTTCGTGTTCACAATTTTATAGTCAGTGAAATAATGAAAACATATTATCAAACACTTCATTAATCCAAATTACTTTAAAAAGAATGGTGGAACAATGAAGAAATTAATTTAACAGCAGTTACATACGAGTTTATTTTGCGCTTAAAAGTTTAGGCTGAGAGTAGTACTTTAAGTAAGTTATATGAATATGGTATTTGTTGGTGAGATTCAGAAAAATTTCACTTTCAGACAAATTCATAAATTTTGACCAATTTTGTAGATAATGTATGAATGACTAACAATAGTTTTCAACTAAGATAAAAATAGAGATTTGTTGATTACTAGTACATCAGAGATAATAACGACTCGTAACATTTATAATGGAAACTGATTTTACGTAAGTAACCAATTGTGTTGACTGAATGTCTATCAATTTGTTAATTAAAGGCAAATAAACCTACAACTACATCTGAAATCAATAAGTGACTAAATCAATTCAGAGCCTTCGTGGTAGCATTACCCACTTTCCTTTATTCAAATCAAGTTATCCGAGAAAACAAGAACTGACATCATTATAACGAATTATATTGAGAAAATGTACTCATGATTTGTATTTCTACTAAACTTTACGATAAATTTTCTTAGGAAGTATTGATATTTTGAACGGTTTAGTCAATGAGCAATAACTGGAGATAATCCAAGAAAACGTGATTCATTCAGTCAGAGGAAATCAGTGAAGAATTTGAGTTTTAAGTTTTCAACTGATGTATTTATGAACAGATAGTTGCTAGACTTTCTATGTAGATGCGATAAATTAATAGATAAAGTTGTAAACCAACATAGATTGAGAGAGTTAAGAACCATGTTACAAATGTACAAAGACAAATCTCGCTTCGTCATACTGTCCAGTAAGAGAAAGGGTTGGAATAAGTCTAAAGGGTTGCTAGACAGAGATATGACTTCGATCTGCGAAGTCATTAACTTTTAATTTGAGCAATATAGGTAGATAGATGCAGACTTCACGGTTGTAATCACTAAGAGTTATAATGAATAATAACTCATATATTCAAGTGACATGTCTGTAAATTGATCACACTGGTGCCAAGGTGTTTAGTTTTACCTTTATAAACTTGGAATATAATGTTATTTCGTCTTATTCATTGTTCAATTGAATCTGATTTTTCTAAACTTATCCTGTTTTCCTTTTTATATTTGATTCCTCACTACTAGTGATATTATTTTCATCACATGACTTTTTATTAGTTTTTCTTTACTGTATCGATGTGAAAAAGTGTGACAACTTAAAATTACAGCGTTAATATTCCTTTTTTTATTTGACAATAAACTCTTAATGAATATTTTTATCTAGGAAGCAAAAATCTGATTCCATGATAGCACATCATTTTATAAATGAAACTAACTTAAAGCTATAAGCTAGAATTCGAAAATAGACAAGATGGATTGTGTAATAATTATAGAATATCTGAACAGTTTGCACTAGTTTTATCATTTTAGATAAATGTACTAAAGCATATACATTGAATGAAAAAGCAGAAAAGTAAATCTAGGCTTCAAAGAACTTAAAACTAAAAAGTGCTACGGATTTAAACACCTCAATAAATCGACACAATCGATTGCGGACATAATGTCGATGTTCTTTAACTTTTCAAAATAACTAAAAAACAAAAAGCGTAACTGTATTACGCTTTGTTGAACTATTCATTATCAACAAAATCTCAACCAAATATATGCGTTTAAAAAGAGAAATTTTTAAATTTATCACTAGCTTGATAAAATGATATATCTTGTTCACATTGGGAACCAATCTAAATTAGAGCTGACTTCTGTTGGTTTCTTATTATAACAAAACTCAACAATTCCCACGACATCCATAAAGAATATACTTTGTGATTAGATCTCTATTACTGCTGTGGTGTCTGTTACTTATGTCGACAGGCATAAGTAGTATGTAACACCAATTAGAAGAGGAATGCATGAAAGCAGAAGGCTAAGAAAATCGAGTTGAAGAAAACAGAAAGGGAAAAAGAAATGAATTGTGAATTAGAAGAATCATACAGTATGTGATGGAAGATTTGCTAATGAAGTATTTAATGTGTGGTTCTCATATTTTACGAAGATATCCTGTAATTTTGTAATAAATGATAAATTGGTTCCCCCCACCTAAATGTTCGTTCATAACACTACTATTATTATAACGTCGTTTGTATTGTCATCAAATCTTCACTTCGCCAAGTGGTATTTCACTCACCCAGTCCTTGAAGCAAATGTAAACTCATCAAATATTCTGGGATTATAACAATCTATCTTATCGATTTTCGAGCTCTGATTAATTGCTATCCAACTTCTTGATGATTTATCTTTAAATGACCTTACGGATGGAAATGCTACTGATCATTTAAGGTCTAAGATATTGGTTAGTTGATAAAGGTATAAAATCTCACCACACCCCTCTGAATGGCTAAAATCAGAGTGAATTTGCGAAATTCATTTGAAATGTTATAATATACCTGTAAAATCCGTATACTTTGAAGAGCTAATTGTTGAGCTTTTGGTGAATGACATGGTAAAACACCAATTAATCCTTTGTAAACTTGATCAGAGAAACGAGGATTGCCTTCAGCTAATATTTCTAATAAATCTCTAGCAGACTCTTGTGTTTCCTCTGACTTGGACTTGGCCATACATTCAGCGACAGCACGAATGCCTAGAAATTGTTTAAATCAAAATCGCACAAGTGATCAATATTATTTATGCTAACTGGTAAACATCACTACGAATTTAGAAAACTATTTGTGACATTATGAAATATTTCAATGATTTATACTTGAAAAATTTGAATTATAAGGACATTAATATCAAAAAATTATTATTTAACTCAGTGGTTCTTCATTGGCTATCAGAATAGCTAAACGAGTATCTTTGAATAATTTTGACAAAAATGTTATACCACGACACTATACCATACATATCATTTGATTATGAAAGGGTTCTCTTTCACTTGACCAATATACCTTAATAACAACTAAATTTATTTACCGATGAAAGCACAACAGAATGGTATCACAATATGATTTTTATTATTATTTATTAACTGGTAATTTGAATCGAACAGTCCTAACGCAGATTGATTAATCAAACATTATCTATCATAAGTGGTCACATCTTGTGCTTTTTTCTTTCTCTTTGATGTTTCTTTTACTTCATAATGGGCAACTGCTCAAATTCAATTAGCATTTATCAATCAACGAAGTAATTGGGTTTTTTTAAACAGATAATACGTATATATTATTATTATCCTTGTTTTCATCCTAAGAATATAGAAGAAACTTATTTCCCAATGTTATTATCAATAACAAATTTAATTAAACACTAAATGAAAGGAACATGGTTGATATGAGAGAAGAAGGGAATATATATAAGTAATAATAGTAGTAGTAGTAGTAGTATTGGCAAGAGAAGTAGCATGGACAAAGGGGGAACTATACAAACGATATAAACTTCATGTATCTACTGATTGAAGGATCTAAGACGTATACAAACGAAAACCATATAGCTAAACAAAGAATATGATGTACAATAACAAAAAAGAGAGAAGCTCAAGAGAGCGACAAAATGAAACAGAAAGCAAAAGAAAATTAAGTGAGATAACAAGAGGCAAACTAACGTTTATAATGATAAATAGAAAGGGAAAAAAGCAATTATTTACCATAACATTCACAAATTGTCTCCTTATAATGTGTACCAGCATTGGCAACGCAAGATAATACTTTAAGCGCCCAACGTTTATCCACTTCTTTTGCACTTGATGAAATGCATACTTCCTGTAAACACAATACACCACCATGCTCCAAAAACTCTAGTAAATAATTATAACTTTTTAGCGAAGGTTGATGGGTGGGTAGGTAGATAGGGAAAATATCAAGAACATAAAGGATAAAATACAAATTGATTGTTTTCTTTGGGGGGAGGGAAATCATGTGATTTTTGGACAGATATACATATGAAACATCATTAATTGGATCAACAAACTAGCTTATAGTATTAACTTTTTTAAGGGTATGTAGCCTAAAACTTCTAGATATTGTAGGCAAAGTGTAAGCGATGAACAGCGTAAGAAATATACATTTTTCACTAAACCTAAAGGGCTCCAGGACTGGATATCGCCAGGGAAAGTTTGCAGTGTTGAGATATTGCAAACTATGGCTAAGTGTTAATAAAACACTTTTAGGCGTTATGAGTTTTACTCAGATAACGTCAGTTCAAAATGTATTTTAAATGATGTGAAAATGTAAACATTACTGAAAATTGACATATAGAACTAAAAGACTCAGTGAGATATAATGCTAACTGTAAATATGGATTACATTTAAATTGCTTACTGTACATTAGTGATTATCAAGGGAGGATCGATTCAAAAGTTTCGTGCTACTATGCATAACTTGCAATATCAGTCAGTAGAAATTAAATAAAGCTGTTACCCTTCTGCATAAATCAAAGCTAGGGCTATTTCAAGCTGAATACATTTCCTGTGACGGTGTTTAGATTAGCCTGCCTAAAATGTTGAAATATATAACAAAAATTGAAAATTAACTAACTAATTATCTATCCATTTAGAATATTTGGTCAATATTTTAAAAACGTGCTTTTTGTCAAGTAACCCTACTGATAACTATCAGCCTAGACGTTTTAAAGCTAATACTCGTAACAATCTGCTGTAGCTGATAATCTATGAACCATTTCTTTTAACAACAAATGAATATTGCCGAGGTAGTGTATAGAGTATTAAGAAAAGAAAGTCAGTCTGTGAAAATGAAGACTAACATTAACTAATATGGCTGAAAAACCCGCTTTAAATTTTAAGTCAACACCTAGTCCTATGATCGATGCTGGTTAGTGGAGAATCGGAGTGAAAGAAATCTACGGTTAATCAAGTTAAGGCATAGTATTAATTTAAATAAGCACACTAAAGCAGTGGTTTATTGGTTGAGGCGTTGGATCTTTAGCCATCAAGTAATGAGCTTGCACCACGTTACACCTATTTCAATCTGGTGAGTTAGAGAGTATCAGCAACACTTAGTTTGAAGCCAAGTACATGAATTTGTACCCTATAAAGTAGTTATTAAGTCAAATGTAAGCACTGAATCCCATAGAGCCAGTCAGGCCCACAAACTTATATCACACCAACAGACTGGATTACCGTACAATGAAGAGTTTAAATACGAAAAAAATAAGCAAATTACACAAATTTCGTAAATCATAAGAAAAATAAGGGAAACTGACAAGTCAAGGAAAACCTTAAGCTAACATATTCGGTAAAAATGTAAGATTGATCTTCACCTGGATCATATAATTCAGTTATTTAGATTTTAAACAGCGTTAAGAATAATTCATATGTTTATGTTAATTAAGACTCTACTTTGCATAAAGCCTTAAATTTTATCTTATGGATCAAAAAGGTCGCGTAGACTTACTTCTTTTCCATTTCCATTGACAATTCCTAACAATTTGTACTTTTAGCATATTTTAGTTAATTTACCATGATCACTGAATATTTATACAATTGTTTGTATAAACCATTACTTTTCTTGAGCTAGTACAGGCTTTGTATTTTATCCATCGCTTGATTTGTGTTTATATGCTCTTATCTTCAGATCACCACTCGTTTCCTTAATCGCATCTTACTATTCCCTAAGGCCTCGTACTCCTACGTATCAGACAGTGAGTTTAATTAATAAAGGTACCTCATAGAGGAGTATAAATACCTAATCATCCAATTTTAAAACTTGCTAGGTTCTAATGAACTACGTATTTATGTACAAAAAAACATAACGAGGTAGAAAATGTAAACTTTTTACATAAGCGAGCAATAATACCTACATTTGCAACTATAAACTTCATTATCTGAAAAAATCAAGTCCATTAAAATAATGTTATTAGTCTGAGCACATGTTGAAAGAAAAACGATGTAATATGAAATCACAAATCTCAATACACTGACATAACTAGAATTATGAACTCAAACTATAAAGAAACGTGGGGAATTCGATGGTCTGGGATGGAGGTACAATAACAAAATTGTCGCGTCCATCTGAAAATGAAATCGGATCATGTTTGTAACAGATCTATTACCAGATGGCAATGAAAGTATACCAACCAATTCACTCAATTTTATCTATTTGGGTCCTGCTTCTGTCGGGCACCCGGGCTGTATCGCAATCCACACACAAATCAAGTGACTTGTGTGGCGCGTATGTATTTGGTGCCCCTTTGTACTCATATTTATGTCCAAATAAATAAATCTATTTGGGTATGACCTAACTAACTCTACCAACCAATTTACTTTGACAACCGACAATTAGTATTATTGAACATCACAGGAAAGATAAAACGAAATCTGATACACGAAACACCATTAAGCCGTCGAAATACAATCCCCAACCAATAGAATAAAAAAGATTGACCTTCATTTGTCTGTATGATACTACTTATTAAGCCAAAGGTGAACAAACTGCTTTTTGGATACAAAACGATAGCCTTTTCACATAAAACTAACCAATTAGTCAATAAAAAATTGTCTAACGTCGTGTGGGCCTGCAATAACCTAGAGATGGACTTGATAGCTAGTTGTAGAATTACTGGCTCAAGATTGAAAAATCATTGAAATAGTTGAGAGAACTGAGTAATCTAACCATATAATAACAACCATAATGCCGATACATTCGATCTTAGTTGTGCTCTAAATCTATAACTATAACTAGTTGTACAGTATCCCAAAGAACCTAATAACAAAAAGTCTGACATAAACTATTAGAAATAGTTTTTATTTATAGGAGCAGGACAATATCATGAGTAAAAACTACTCAGATAAACAGTATACATATAGCGATGGACCGATGATTAGATGGGTTAGCAAGTTTGAAGACTTTAGTAATAATAATAAGTTACTAGGATGTTGCCCCCAAATGCCCTGGTACGGCCGAGAGTGGGGAGAGTCACCTCTCCCTCTCGAAACGCTCTCACATGGCCAGCGAATATATAGCCCCTGCCAGGGAAGTCCTACTCACTGCCTTCTCGTGACAGCGGTGTTGTTTACGAAAGTGAGAGGACGAAGAGGGAATATCCGGAGCTTTAACAGGGTTGGTGGACAAGGCGAGTCCACCTAGGGGAGTTGGAAAACCCTGATTCCAAACCAATGGTGCACATGGGCTCCAGTATCCTGAAGGAACAAATGGCGTACGAATCAATCATTGATCACCGGCCACCATGGGATTGCATCTCCTCACGATGCTCCACTGCCTTGTGGACTAGACCTTCAGATCAAAGGCTCGGGGTGTAGCCCCCTAAGAAAACCACCTGCTTCAGTCTGGGCACCTGGGCAGTATAACAGCCCTCACACAAATCGAATGAGATTTGTGAGGCGCATATATATCTGGTGCTTCCTTGTACCAATATTTATGTGTTTAAATAAATAATAAATAATAAACTAGGATGTTAGAAAATAATATTGGACAGAGTACGGAAATCCTACTTTGTTCATTTCCCAGTTTCTTAAGCTTCCCTTATATCAGCTACGAATTATTTTAAATTAGATCAGTTTCAAGAATACAAAACCAAAACTAAGATAAAACAAATTATGATAAATTCGCAAGTCAAAATCTTTATAAGAATAGAAAGGCAGTTTTACATTAGTTTACCTGTTTGATGCTGATAAAAATACATGAAGAGCTTGAAGCTGTTCTGTTAGACAAGTTCCTGACATGTAACTAAAAGAGATACAAAGAAAATAATTTTAAAAACAGATTTGATTGTAAGTCTACATTAGTGTGTAATACATCGGGCCACAAACTGCTATATGTGCATGGGGTAAAGACGCTACTCGGATGTTCAAACTAAAATAAGAGAAACATGATAAGGACTTGCGACCGGACGATTAAATCTTTTAACTACTAGATTACTGCTCCTTACATTATCCAAAAGTATGGTCTAAAGAAAATTGTGGAACATATTTTCACACGACTATGAACCAAGTGTTAATTTGATGAACAATTATTCCTACTCAAGAATATCAAAAACTAATAGAGATGTTTTTTAGTACTGAAAGTTATTTATTTTCACAGGCAATTACTTCAAGCAGTGACTTAGACATGCAAAAAAAACTGGAAAACATTCAAAATTTAGGATTTTAGTCTAAAAAACTCTACATACGTCCTATTTAGGTTAGCTGATAATGAAAAAATTTTTCTAAAGTACAAAATGGACAGTGAAATGAAGACTGCCTTTTAGTACCTTTTGGCAGTTTAATATGATTCTGACACATTTGCATCGAAAAACACTTATAAACTAGTTAATCTGACAGTTCCGAATAAAGTAGTGATATATATAGGAAAGATATGTCCATATTTATATTACTGCCTGCGACCAAACTAAAATTTTCATATTTATGATCTACACTAGGGTTATGGTGTATTTTACGTCAGGTTACTGGGTCACAGATTAGAATTCCACCCCACCATTCACTCTAGCTTATGTCATCGGGTAGAGTATTGATAGTCTATCTGCATAAAGTATGGCTTAAAGCTGGGTACAAGAATTTATGCTTGGTAAGTTACTCATGAAGCTTAAACTGTTTAAACTCAAGTAGTTGTAAATCAAATTCTTTTACAAAAGTCCTACAAGATGACAGAGAAAGTAACAAAAATAAAACTAACCACATATCATATTATATAAAACGAAATTGTTAGTAACTGAACATATACGTTCGAAACAATCAATAATTAAACACACAAATCATCCAATGAACACAATTAAACGTCTGGACAATATCGCATACACAAACAATTCAATACCATGAACATGACCTACGTTAATTTTATCCATACGCATATTCTAGCCAAAAATAAACTAGCCATTTGGGCGAATTCAGATTCCAAATCAGGTCCAGTACGATTGTAGTATTGTTTAATGAAATCGTCAAGAAGCTGACGACGTTTTTCTTCAGATGCACAATCCCACTGACGTAACAAACAAGTTACATTATGGATAGCAATATCCTGTTTCGCAGATGCCATGATCTAGATTAAGAAAAAAAGCGAAAAGTAAATTTGTATATATCGAATGTATAAAACATTACTACTTGCTAACCATTTAAGAAGAAACTTTTTCTCCTTTTTCTATAGCTTTTGCAATAAATTGTCGTTTATGGGTAGTAAAAGTATTAGGCTACTTATATTATACATAAATGTAGCAGTTATCATTCTATGACGCAAATATCAGCATACAACCCAGAGGAACATTTTGAAAGAACTACAACATTTTGCATTCACAAAAGAATGAATAAATTACCCACCAAACCTATAAATACTTCGTAATTTAATTTTTGTGATCAAATATTGAAAACCTTGACATAGAAACTGTACAATAATTTGCTAGGCGACAATCAAAGTTTAACAAAGTACACTTTAAGTACTCAAAAAATTTGGCTTAACGTTAGCTTTATGACTTTGATATGCTAATGAATTACATTTTTCTGATACACAGAACTATCGATACGCTTTTAATTTTCGCCTACCATTCATTTTCTACCTATCCACAATTTATCTACCCTAGACCTAAGTGAATATTCAAACGGTCCGAACAAAACGGAATCACTTCGGGACAGTAGTTGTTGTATCCCGAAGCGAATTGTGAATGGTGACTTTTGAGGACTATTTGTGGACCAATGTAATATGTATATTTTCTATTTTATAATTGTTAAGTAACTGACCTAATCATATTCATGTTCCTCTTATCATTAGCTTTATTTTGACCTTTGAACTATTATTATACGATTCTTGAGTTATCATCGGTTTATTGATTATTTCCCCCCCCATTTACAGCCACATTTGGCTAAATATTGTACAAATGTTATTATCTATTTTATGGGTCGATATGGTTTGTTTGGTTGGTATATAAACTCAGTATGTTTGAAATACAATGATTCATACCACTGAAGCTGTTATCGGTGTTTTGGGCTGGACTGGTTGGGCTAGGCAGATCGCAGGATCGGTTAGCATTCTAGTCTGCTCGTACGGTTTTCGTGTGTCACTGTTCCAATAGATAATTCGCTGCTCTCTGATTGGCGGTCTTATCATGTCACACATTAACTAGGCATCCACTCAGCCACAAGATATAACAGTAGTGAGCACTAACTCTGCCTCTAAATTTGATTCTAACTGGAGCTTAACACAATTCCTGATTCACCGCCACATACATAAACCAATATTACACAGCGTTGTCGTATATCCCAACCATTAGAAGTATGTAGCAGTTTTGTATCACGACGTTAACTACCGTTTGTTTATATGGTTCAAAGATGAAGGACGAATTCTCTCGAAATGAAGTTAAGAGTCATATATATACTTTTAAATGCTAGTAGAGGATTTCATGTATAACCCAGATCAATCAGGATTAGCAGAAAACATAAATATCAGATTCATTAGGAAAACAATGACATTTTAGTAAATATACTGACCACACCATCGTCACCAAAACCCTCGCCGTATTTATTTCAGGCCAACAATTATATCGTGATACGATGACCGCTATCGATTTCCCAGATAAGACTGGTTCGGGAACGTTTTTTAAAGCACAGACTCAAAAGCACCTGTACTAAAACAACCCAGTCAGTTAGAACATACAATTGCCCCCATTCTAACTTAAATTAATCTATGATGTTCTAAAAACAGTTCCACAGACAGTACATGGTGATAATCGACAGTTGCCCCCAAATGCCCTGGTACGGCCGAGAGTGGGGAGAGTCACCTCTCCCTCTCGAGATGCTCTCATATGGCCAGCGAATATATAGCCCCTGCCAGGGAAGTCCTACTCACTGCCTTCTCGTGACAGCGGTGTTGTTTACGAAAGTGAGGAGACGAAAAGCGAATGTCCGGCGCTTTAACCGGGTTGGTGGACACGGAGAGTCCACCTAGGGGAGTTGGAAAACCCTGATTCCAAACCAATGGTGCACATGGGCTCCAGTATCCTGATGGAACGAATGGCGGACGAACCTGTCATTGGTCAACGGCTACCATGGGACTGCATCTCCTCACGATGCTCCACTGCCTTGTGGATCAGACATTCAGGTCAAAGGCTCCGGGTGTGCCCTCCTAAGAAAACCACCTGCTTCAGTCTGGGCACCTGGGCAGTATAACAGCCCTCACACAAATCGAATGAGATTTGTGAGGCGCATATATATCTGGTGCTTCCTTGTACCAATATTTATGTGTTTAAATAAATAAATAAAAATAAGCTTCAGTAAGATGACCAATTCGAGCGTATATTTAAAAAATGGAAACAAGCCAGTTTACTTCTTAATAGTACACCGAAAGATGACATTTTACGAATTCTACACCCTTCCTGCTTTTTTCTCAATTTCGACGATCACACTTAGCTGGGTGAATTCCTTATTATATGCTCGTGAAGCAGAAGCTTAGGTACTTGACTCTGAACCACACATCAACGGTTAAAAACTGATTTACACAAAGGCAAGTGATGTTTGTTTTCATAATGGATGATTGTATGATATCGGATGAACTTACAAGTGGTTGGTCAGTGATAGAGAAACAAAGTAGGACCTCGGACATGTGTATGGCAGTTTAATTACCAACTTATACGAAAACAGCCACCAAGTGAATTTTTATACCATGGTAAATGGGACTAAGAAACTGGTTGTAAGCAAGCTGACAACTGCATACCTACAAATATGGATGCAGTTAGTCCTAGCAGCGACTATAGGGAGCAAGAATTCTATTTCCTTAAATCAAACCCCAGTTGATTCATACGAAGTGGTTTACCGTCAGTGTATTTTTCTGAACACAAATATTTGTAAAACAGGGCACTAAATACACATGCACCACACGAGTCACTTGATTTGGGTGTGGGCTGTGATATTGTCCGGGTGTCCAAACCAAAGCAGGTGGTTTTCTTAGGCGGCCATTCCCCGAGACTTTGACCTGAAGGTCTAATACACAAGGTAGTGGAGCAACTTTAGATGTAGTCCCATCGTGGCCGGTGACCAACAGTAGATTCATACGCTATTTGTTCCCTCAGGATAATAGAGTTCATGTGCACAACTGGTTTCGAATCAAGGTTTTTCAACTCTCCTACATGAACCCTTTGTGTCCATTAACCCGGTTAAAGCGCCAGACATTCGCTTGTCATCCTCTCCATTTCGTAAAAAACACCCACCGCGAGAAAGCAGTGAGTAGGACTTCCCTGATAGTGACTGTATACGCGTGACCATGTGAGAGCATTTCGAGAGGAATAGCTAACTCTCCCCACCCTCGGCTGTACCAGGACATTTAGGGGCTCCCAGTCAATGAGAAGATGCACCACGTTCACCAAAGATCAAGTTTAGTTATTGAACAAAAGCATTTACAATGTACTTGGAGAAAAATAAAACTGAGTACCACGATACCCACGTTAAGCTAAAGCTTCAATAATCAAACGTACATTGTTTACGTGTTGTGTTCTGTCAAAAAATAACTGCTTGTGGTAGTTTTCTATCACCACAGAGAGTAATGAATGCCTAAAATTGGTAGGGAATGAACATACAAAATTTCGAGTAATCTCAGAATAATTTGTCCCAACAACCCAGACCTCAGTGTTATGTGTCATATTGAGTAATGGTAGTTGGCATTTAAATACCATGTTAATTGGAAAAAAGCATATATCGAAAGAGTGTCACTAGATTCCAAGAATGACAGTACGTTGCATTAAATTAAAGCCTATAAAATAAGATGAAAATAACCAATACCAAAAAGACTCAGAAATGCTGTGAGCACAACGAGTAAACTTAGTATTCCTTTATAGTGTTAGAGTAACACTGTAGACCCTCAAGGTATACAAGCTGTAAGACTTCATGAAGTAGTTACATATTACATGCACTAAGTAGACTTAAGTCACCTGTCAGTTATGTCAATTTGCAACTTTATGCACGCCTAAAACGTGTGGAATAAGTGTATAAGAGAGCAGATCGGTTTAAGATAAGTCTAATCACTTAATACAGGTATCAAGGCACGAGACACTCAAGACAGAAAGCAATGAGCATGCGATAAGTTAACCCTAGAATTGCTAATGCACCTGAACGAAGTCTCCACAAGACATAAAGACTCCCCCGAAATCGGGAAATTGGACGAGAATCTAAAATTTGCAAGAAATTCGCGCTTTACATGATCGATGAAGAAAACATTTATGTCCCAGGATGCTAAAGGGAAAGTAATGAATAAATAAGCCTGAGAATTGTCTCAACATGAACGTCACTAAAAATTCAATAAAACGACATGAAACACACTTAAGAAAAAATGGAATGTCCTTAATACAATTTTTTTGTAAATGAACGGGTTGTTCATAAATAAAAACAACAAACCTGTAGTAGCAATTTAAAAATGACTATCACAGTCGAAAAACGAAAGCCCGCAATAGCTCACATGGCAACCCTAAAAGAATCTGAGATGAATCTAAACGCAACTCATTCAAACTTGTTCAAATGGTTCAAATGGTTAAGGACGGAATAAAAGAAGCTTTCGCTTAACGGGCTTCCGTGTCTAGTAGCAGTGGATGACCAATACCTCCAGGCAAAACCTAGGTATATGAACGATAATAGAGGAAAAAAGAATTTGGTAAATCATAATGTTATCCTTAGTCCTTAAGAATAAGTCAAGTTTCCTCTTAAAGGACTCCCGAGAAGTCGCTTGAACTAGCTCAGTCGGCAGCGAATTCCAGCACTTGACAACTATTACGGAGTAGAAGTTGTGTCTAAAATCTGTTCTGCTATGTTGGGTCTCCAGTTTCTGGGTGTTACCTCTTAGGTTAGTGTTGTGACTAAGCTTAAGAAGATGTTTAAGGGGATGTCAAAAAGTGTTAGGGATACTGTAAGCCATGAGAAGGTTACCTCTAAGACGTCTGTACTCTAACGGGTAAAGGTTTAGTGATTGGAGGCGCTCTTCATAAAGCTTGAACTTGAGTCCCCGAACTGATTTCGTGGTTCAACGTTGGATACGCTCCAGAGTGTCCTTATCCTTTTGAAGGGAGGGATGAAATACTGTTTCCGTACTCTAAATGGGGACGAATAAAACTGTTGAAGATTATGTGGAAAGTTCTACCGTCAAACTGGCCAAAAATGCGCTTCAATGTTACCAGTGCAAGGTTTGCTTGAGAGGCGTTTTTGTCACAGTTCGCATACGATTTCAGGTCATAGGGTACCAACACTCCTAAAAAATTTTCGACTTGGGAAACTTCTAGAGGGGAGTTACCTAAGTTATAACTATAGTCTGCTAACATGTCTCAGATGAACTACTTTGCACTTTGAAGTGTTGAAGGTAAGTCCACTGTCGTCTGCCCAACTTTGAAGTCGAGTCAGATCCTCCTGAAGAACTAGTATATCATTATGATTACGTATCTCGCTCCAAAGTTTCACATCATCAGCAAAAAGCAATTAGTCAGATGAAACTTGTTGAGGAAGATCGTTAATGTAGATCAAGAAGAGAAGAGGTCCTTGTATTGAACCCTGGGGGACCCCACTAGGACATTCCATAGCGTGAGAGAGATTGGAATTAACCCTGACCTTAAAGTGTAGGCTTTTTAAATATAAAGAGAGCCAATCAATCAAAGGGGTTTTTATACCCAAGCCATACGTGGTTGATCCTATCGAAAGCTTTTGAGAAGTCCAGGTAGATGACTTCAACCTTCCCCTTGCGATCAAGGATGGTTGTCCATCTATCCACCGCAGTCAGCAGGTTGATCATACAAGAATGACCTTTTCTGAAACCATGCTGTTGAGGTGAGAAGAACTTTGAGGACGATAAGTATTCTAGTATACCGTTGTATACAAGGGATTCCATAATTTTGGAAGGTATGGAGAGAAGGGCCACTGGTCGGTAGCTTGAGGGTTCACTGCGTCGACCTCCTTTGAAAATTGGTGTGATGTGGGCCAGCTTCCAAATTTCCGGTAGTTTGCCTCTGCTTAGCGAGTGTGCAAACATCACGTTAAGTGGTGTCGCCAGGATTGAAGCTACTTCCCTCAACACAGCGGAATGAACCATATCCGGACCAGGAGAAGTGTCTTTTCTTAGGTGCTGCAGTTTACGGAGCACCAGATCAGCACTCAGGTCCACTTCGGAAAGTCCTGTACAGGTGCAGGTGAAGCTTTCGTCAGTATAGTTGATGTGGGTCAGCTGGAATGTCTTGGAGTATTGTTCAGCCAAAAGGTTGGCGGTATCACCGTCGCTATTGGTCGGGCCATCAGGACCTAGCAGTTGGGAAACTCCAGTTTTGCCTTGTCGAAGAGAAGCTGAGTAACTGAATAAGCTTTTCGGATTGGAGACGAATTTATCGATAAGCTTGGTCTGGAACTGAAGCCTGTCTTCTCTTATTGCCTTTGAACATATGTTCCTTATGCATTTATATTGCCTGTATGCGTCGTTATTGTCGGTTCGTTTATATTCGGCTCAACAGTGCCTTTTGTGGCTTAGCAAACGACGAGTGCGGTTCTTGATGAATCAATCAAGAATTCAATCATACTTTTAAATTCGTTGTTTCCTACGTACTAATAACTTGTGCAAAAGTAGACAGCAACTTTATGGCTTTTATTCTGGATATGCTTACTATCTTTCAGCTGTTCTTGCATCGCAAATATATCATGCAAGGTAAACTACAAAATGAAATAATCTCCCGTTCTGACCAGTAAAATCCAGTAATTATTTGAAGTACTGATTATCAACTGTCTCTTCCGATAAATCTGACTTCAATGAGAAATTTCTATTTCTCATCTTAATGTAGGATTCTACTTTCCATGTCTAAGGTTGCATGTGTAGTGGGAACAATAAGATAATATTAGTGTAACAACCTGAAGCAAGCTCATGCATAGAAAGAAGGTTGAACAGGTTCTCCAAGGACTAAAAACGTTCTAGAATGGCTATTGTTCCCTGACTGTGAAACCTATGTATAAAAGTTCATAAATCCGTAGAGCAGTGATGAGAGTCACTGGGCAGAGGCATCTGGAATATTGTTCTTCGACATCATCTGTCCAAATGTAGATGTCAAACCTTGATCTATAGTAGCCAGACATTTATTCTTATTTTCTAACTAACATTATGAAAAAAGCCAGTTTCAGAGTAGCCATATTCAAAACAGATCACCTTATTTTTAAAATTTGAAGCAATACAATAGGTACAATACAATCAATTGGAAAAAGTGGACGTAATTCTGTGGGAGTGTGATTTCCAAAGTTTTTACTCTTGGCATCTGAAATAATCCTAACATGTCTGCAATGAACATATCAGTGAGAAGAAAAGTAGTTTGCACTCACCAAATCGACAGAAAGTCCTTGGTTGCCTAAATACCAATCTCACTACTCCTTCTAGAAGTCACTTAGGTGGTGCCCTATTTATTTGAGGTATATCAATATTGCGATCACATTTATTTGAGCTCAATGTTCGTCACTAGAATTTATTTTACCCAAAGCTCTGAAATGCCTTTCAACAAGGGCACGGCTCGTTCACTATATTTGTTAACTTTACAGACCAAAAAACGAAGTACAAATTCATCTCTAATGAAATTACTGTTTTTTGGATGCTCTTAAGGACCTTAACGGTTTGAATGATTATAGTTATGATATAATCACGAAAGTAGGCTCGTGAGATTATCCAGTCCTTCGACTAATGATAATAATGTTACGAATTAAAGCGTCTGTGGAGGTAAATAAGTCCCAAAATCAATAGCTCTTTAAGTGTTCAACATTGAATGTTGACCACATTAGTCTTAATAGACTCACCTAATTGTAGGCTCTCGGTCATGCATCCCCACTAAATCACGGGTTAGATCAACTAATAATATCGACGTACAACATGGTTCTGCGAAAGACCTACTGCTATGAATGAGGGAGGTTATTGGCCAAAGAGCTTTCGATGATGACATATTCAAACAACATTTCTTATCCAAACCTCCTCATCAGGTGCAAGCTGTACTGGTCTCTTTTCAAAACAGCTCCGCAGACAAGCTGGCTGCATCTGCTGACTGCATCCTAGAAATCGCGAGATCTTCTGATGACGAGGTCTCTTCAGTCAAAGAAAGACCTCAGACGACCCAGAATGAAATTACGTAGTTATATCGTCCACTTCACGTATAGGATCTGTCTCTAGACGACGAGAGACGGATAACCCTGACTGATGCTGTTGACATAACCAGTATGGGAAGTCTTCCAGAAACTGCAGAAAACGCTGCGATTACCCGAACTCAAAATCGATTGACACAAAAAGCAATTCTGACGCAGACGTTAGCGTACTTCTCGCAAATTCTAATGACCAGCTTCATGAATCTGTTTTAAACTTACAGGCGGCAAACGGAAAGTCAATCGCTACATACGGTAAAAGGTACGTTTACCTTGACGTTGGTTTACGCAAACCCATTCACTGGATCTTCCTTGTTGCAGATGTTTCTATGCCAATCATTTGCATAGACTTCCTACAACACCACAACCTACTCATTGATGTGCGCAAACGGAGGCTAGTAGACCGAAACACCAAGTTATCTGTTTGCACAACTTTTTTCTACAGTTGCAAATTATCTTCAGTCACAATCAGCACATAAAATATCCATTCTATCAACCAATACTCGATAAGTACTCGGAGATATACCAACCGCAACCGGAATCGCCGTGTGTAGCCAGCAATGTTACACATCACATCACGACTACAGGACCACTGTATTCTCGAAAGCACGCCGATTGTCTCCCGGAAAGCTGAGGTTGGCCAAAAACGAATGCGATCACATGAGAAAGTTGGGAATAAGTCGACCGTCAAATATCCCATAGACACTTCGCTTGCACATGGTCTCTAAAAAGTACAGCAACGATTGGCGTCCAACTGGTGACTATCGGCATTTGAATGCAAAATCTATTCACGATCGTTATGCGTTGCCTCACATTCACGATTTGACAGCTACCTTGAAAAGTACAACTGTCTTTTCGAAAACAGGTTTGGTTAAAGCATTTGACCAAATCCATATGGCTGCTGACGATATTCCAGAAACCGCTATCATAACTCCCTTCGGACTTTACGAATTTTCGCGATTGCCTTTCGGCTTAAGAAATGCTGCCCAGACTTTCCAAAGATTCATAGGTGACGTTTTCCGAGTTCTCAATTTCGTATATGCTTATGTTGATGACTGTCTGATAGCAAGTCCGGACAGAGAACCACATCTCCAGCATCTGGGCATTGTGTTCGAACGACTACGAAAGCATGGCATCACTGTAAACATTCACAAATGTCAAATCGGAACCGACTCCTTAGATTTCCTAGGACACACTATTGATGCTCAAGGTATTGGACCTCTCAGAAGCAAAGTGGCGGCCATTCTGGATTACTCAGAACCGACCACCATTAAGCAATTCCACATATTTAACGGCCTTGTAAGCTTCCATAGACGGTTCATACCCAAATGCGCGTCCCTTATGAAGCCGTTAACCGACTCACTTCGTGGAAATGCTAAATCCATTAATCTGGACGACACCGCGCGAAAAGAATTCTCCACTGTTTAGAAACGTGTTGCAAAAGCAACCATGCTGGCACGTTAGGGCACTCAATCTCCCATTATTATCGCAGTAGACGCTTCCAACCTAGTAATAGGAGGAGTCTTACAACAATGGGTCTACCACTCCTGTCAACCTTCGGCATTTTTTCAAGATGGTGGTTAGACAGTGAATCGAGATACAGCACGTTCCGTAGGGAACTCCTATGTATGTATTGTTCTGTACGACATTTTCAACACTGTATCGAAGGCGGAGACTGCACCCTTTTTACTGATCATAAGCCTCTTACTTTCTCTTTAGGCTCATCTTCAGACAAGTACTCACCTCGTGAGTCACAACAACTGAACTACATTTCGCAGTTTACTTCAGACGTACAACATATTTCTGGAGCAAACGATATAGTTGCAGACGCCTTATCTCGTATAACTTCCTCGAATAGTTTCAAAAGAACTCGTCTAGCTTCAAAAAGAAGACACTGATCTTCAGCACGAGTTATTTAAACAAACACTTTAACTACACACTAAACAGTTGGGAACAGTTAAGGAAACCTTATTATGCGAAACATGTACAGGTAGAAATCGTCCGGTCGTGCCGAAACATTATCAACGCAACGTCTTCAATAGGTCGCACAAACTTTCTCATCCAGGTGTTCGTGCATCCATCAAGTTTATAGAAGAATTGCTTTGTTCTGGTCTTGTATGAATAAAGACGTGAGGGAGTGGGCACGCTCCTGTGTTAGCTGTCACAAGTCTAAGCTGATTAGACAAAACAAATGTCCCTTAGACTCTTTTAAAACCCCTGATGCTCGTTTCGACCATGTTCACCTGGATTTGGTGGAACTCATACCAGATTCAAATGGATACTTTTATATTTTAACCTGCACGGACCGTTTCACTTGATGGCCAAAACACAGTACTAATCAAAAACATTAGTGCTGAAACAGTGGCCTGCGCCTTCGTCGAACGATAGTTAGCAAACTTCGTCTGACCTTCAACTATCACCACAGACCGTGGACGCCAGTTGGAATATGAACTTTTCCGTTATCTGACCACACTACTAGGAACCACTCGCTTCCGAATGACCGCCTACCACTCACAAGCAAACGGGTTGGTAGGACGCTTTCAGCAACAACTAAAGGCATCACTATCATTTGCAAACGCTTCACAGTGGACCGACGCAATTCCACTAATCTTATTAGGTATTCGCAATGCTGTGAAAGCTGACATTAGATACACTGCAGCACAACTCGTTTATGGGACGACACTTTGACTTCCACGAGGATTCTTTAATCCTTCGTCTTCTTCAATGAACATGGATCTAAACTCCTACACGAGCAGACTTACAGACGCAATGCGTTCAGTTAAACCTGTTTCCAGTCGACTGCAAACAACTGATGTTTTCGTTCAACCTGACTTCAGATGTAGTACACATGTCTTCGTTCTTTGAGACTCACAACGATGACCTCTGGAATCAGCATACGAAGGACCCTTCAAAGTTCTTTAGCATGAATCTAAGTATTATGTAGTCGATAAGCACGAAACTAATGGTAGCATCAGCGTCGATCGAATCAAAGCAGTGTATTTAGAAGGAAATCCTATCCACGTCGATTTCTCTTCGGTACAATCGAACGACACGGCTCTTACACTTATAGTATCTCATCCGACAGCCAACACGCGTACTGATACATCGGCAGTATCTGAAAATAAACCTAGAACAACGCGTTATAGAAGAAGAGTAAGATTTCCGAAACATTCAAATGACCATTGCACGTAAGATACCAGTTAACGTTATCCTTTATCTCGATTTTTCTTTGTACTATATATAACAAAAAATATGTAACATGCCTATACTTATATATTTATTTTAAAAAAAACCAATTTTTTCTAACATGCGTATACTAGATTTATTGAAAAAACAAAAAAATACTTAAATCGCTTTCACGCTGTCGCAATTGTATTTGTTTATTTACATGCATCCACACTAGATCACGAGTTGGAACAGCGTGTTCAACTTCTCCAACCATAAATAGCCAGTTTAGATCAGTCACGCCTCTATATATTGATAAATAATCAAATATATCTTCGAACTTCTGACTTTTGATTACACTAGGTGGGTAAGGTCCAATTATAGGTGTTACTGGTAAAGTGTTGTCAAGCTAAAATACCTGTGGTATCTTCAAGTCCATTATAGTCTTATGTTCTCTATTGTTACATACACACAATTCCTCTCGACTATTATCGTCCTCATTTTTACAGTAAACCTGGTCGATGTTAAAAGTTGACAATTTTTAATTTACAAACTGTCAGTGAAAAACCTATAACCTTATACAGAGAAATGTGTGGTTATATCAATTGTGCAGTAGAATTTCGTAACAGTAAACGTTTCGGGTTCCATCATAGGCTGAGGACTACTCGGGAACTATGACAATACTCTAGGTACGGTAGAATCAAACAGTACCGGTAACTCAATATCCTACAGACTTTACTCTGCGGATGAAAATGGGGAGGACGGCAATCGCTAGTAAGAACAGAATATTTGAACAAGGATGGAAATGAAGGAGAAAATGGTCTCCACGTCATGTTATTGTCAAATAGTAAGCTTCAGTTTCAGTTTCACTTTGGAAAGGACAGGAGGCTTGATGGCCTGTGTTAGTCCTGGCAATGATGGTCTCAGCTGATCCAACTTTCTTTTGAAGGAGTCGACGGATGGAGCCTCAACCACGTGCTGAGGTAATGAATTCCACTCGTTGATTATTCGATGGGAAAGTCGGTAGTCAGCTGACAAGTAATTCGTTCTGGGCTTGTGAACTTCTTTGGAGTGTCCTCGTAGATTTTCTGTTTTGGAAAACAAGAAAAATGAGGGCATATCAGGTGCAAATTTGTCATTAAGCAATTTGAAAACTATAATCAAGTCACCTCTGATTCTTCTATATGACAGCGGGAATAGGTTTAGCTTGGTCAGTCTAGTACCACACGGGAGCTTCGCTATTCCGGGAATCAGCCTAGTTGTTGTTCTCTGAACCCTTTCTAAGAGTTCACTGTCTTTTTTTAGGCAGGGGTTAGCTGCTTGTATACAGTACTCAAGTTTAGGACGTACGAACACTGTATACAAAGTCAAAAACGTTTTAGCGTCAAGATGCCTAAAAGCCCTGCGTATGGACCATAAAGTCCTAAAACCTTTGGCGGCTATTGCACGGCAGTGTGCAGCAGTCTTTAAGTCTTGACTGACGATGACGCCTAAGTCGTTGTGTGCCTGAACAATAGGTAACTCAGTGTTATTCATCGTGTATGCATCTGTACCCTGGTGGCCAATATGCATCACAATACACTTGGAAGTGTTTATCGGCAATTGCCAGGTTTGGGACCATTCAGATAATCTCTCCAGGTAATTTTGAAGTTCTAAGCTATCGCCCTTGCTTTGTATCGCTCTCCATATCTTGACATCATCAGCATAGAGTAAGACCGATGACGATAGTAGACGAGGGAGATCATTTACGTACAGGAGGAATAACACTGGCCCCAAAACTGTACCCTGGGGGACTCCACTAAGCACAGTTTCCCAGCTAGACAACTTGGAGTTCACCCTTACTCTTTGTTGACGCCCAACTAGGAAGTCTTTTATCCACATCAATAGATTGCCTCCAATCCCGACATTCCTTAGCTTATATAACAGCCGGTTATGCGGAACTTTGTCGAAAGCTTTGCTGAAATCGATGTAAGCTACGTCTATAGGTAATTTTTGGTCCTTAAGAGCGCACCAGCTTTCACGAGCGACTAATAAGTTTGTGAGACAAGAGTAACCTGTTCTAAAACCATGCTGCTTCTCCGAGAGGATCCGGTTTTCATCGAGATACTTTAACAGTTCCTTCCGAATAATCTTTTTTAAGATTTTAACAACCACACTAGTTAGGCTAATTGACTGGTAATTCTCAGGCTTATGTTTTGCACCTGTTTTGAAGACTGGACTTACTATGGCGTTCTTCCAGTCTTTTGGTAGACGACCCTGGGTTACGGATAGATTAAAACATACACTTAAAGGGTTCGCAACAAAGTTAGCTAATTCCTTTAATAACCTAGGATGCAGTTCATCGGGTCCAGTGGATTTACCTATGTCAAGCTTAACTAGCAGACCAAAAACATCGAGTTCTTTAATGGTTACGCTGTCCAGTGCTTGTGTGGGTGGATTTTCATGGACTGGTGAGAAGGGTGTTTCTATGGTGTATACATCGCTAAAGTATTTAGAGAATACTTGAGCTTTTCCAAAGTCATCCTCCACTATTGATGTGGCAGTAATGTCTCCCCATAGTGAAGGAACATTTCTTCTTCTTTTTGTCCTTTGGTTTATATACGAATACAAGCGTTTAGGGCATTCTATGGATTCCCTAACGATTTTCTCTTCGTACAGCTTTCTGGCCTTACGGAGGGTCGAGGCACAGGTATTTCGAGCCTTTTGATATTGAGATTTCGCCTCGTCAGTCCCTAGTAACCTAAATCTGTCCCACATTTTCCTTCTTTTACGGAAAAGGATGCGAACCTCCCTACTGAACCACGGTGGGGAGTTTCTCGGCCCCTTGGGGGTAGTTCAAGGGATGTGGGGGGCAGTAACTTTTAAGTGTAAATTTCGCAATACGTCCCAAGCCGTTTCGATTGATGACTCTGGGTCTAATTTCCAATATTCTAATGATGCTGATTTCATGATGTCTGCTTTCCAGACGTTAGGTCTGGATTGAGCTGAAGCGTACTCGTGATCGACAGTTATATGGAAGTCAAAGCTTATAACTGCATGATCACTTTTGCCTAGGGGTGGCATGTAAACCAGGTTTGCAACATCATCCTCATAATGAGTCAATATAAGATCTAGTAAGGATGATGCAGAACCCGGGTCGTACCTAGTTGCTTCCTTCACGTGTTGCACTAGGGCACATGTGATTACCGCATCAACTAGTTCCTGTTCGAAGGAGTTTGCTGACGATTCAGTCCGCAGATTTCCCCAGTCCACCATGGGTGCATTAAAGTCCCATAGGATTAGACATCGATCACTTCGTGATAAAGTGTTGAGACTGCTTAGCAGGACCTCGTTTGCCTCACAGCTTGGACTGCGATAGATCAAACTAAGTAGTATCAAACTAAGTCCCCTGCATTTCAGGCGGCAACAAACTAATTCGTACGTTCCACTCTCATGGGATACACTGTCGATAATGGTGAATGGAATAGCATTCCTAATGAATAGAGCTACTCCCCCTCCTTTACGCGTTTGTATTCAATTGTACACCTAGTTCCGGTAGCTTATTTAGTAAGCTCCGGGCGTTGGTATAACAGATCCGAAGCCTATTTAGGTGGCCTCGTGCTTCACCCAGAGTGGCTTCGGCATCATCCTCTGTCGAAGCCTCACAACCCGAAAATTTACAATTTTCAGGTCTTTTTCGCCAGCGTCTAATCTGAACTGTAGTTCCTTTTCGGCTTCCCGTCTTTTAACACGGTCCGCCAACGGTAAGTCCTTACGGAGAAAAACTCCTGAACCCTTTAATTTGTGTCCATTTTCTAAGATTAAGTCGCGTTCGTTTGAGGATTTGAAAACGACTTTGAGTAGTCTAGACTGATTTGGTTTCAGATGCGCTAGATTTCCTAGTCTATACACCTTTAGCAAGGTGAATCCGGGGATGTTTTTGGGCATAACTAGGTTGAGTAGTTGTTTTATCATCACAATGTCATGCTCAAAACGAGCTTTCGGTTCTAAGTTGTCACTCTCCTTGACTCTATGGAGAATGACTGATCTGTCGCTGTGATCAGACCTCGGCTTGTCGACCCTTTTGGTGGGGGTATGATTCCCTTTTACGTCATTTTGGCGTTTTTTTATTACGACCCGTACCCAATCGCCAACGTTCTTTGGAGTGGTAACCACATTCGCGTCAGGCGTACTGTGGGATTCCGGAAGAGTCAGGACGACTTGGGAGATTGGGTCATCTTTCGCGCTGGAAACCGATCGAGCCTTGCGGTTTCGGCTTCCTGAAGTTCCCTTCTGGGTACCATTTTTGATACGAGGGACAGAAGAGACTTTTTTGCGCGAGTTTCTGGTTGTAACAGTCCTCTTTGGAGGATGTTCTTCCTCCTTAGTAGAGTGTGCGTCGACAGTTTTTGGACTCTTTTGGGCCTGCCTTGTGTCAATCTGCGTGTCGACAGATTGAGTTCTGACTGATGTATCCCGACCGCGCTTGCCGAGACACTTTTTTGCGGCATTTACTATTGAAATGGCCTCGGTTAACAGGCTATTTGCATCCAAACAGCACTGTTGACATAGCCACACACACCCATTTTTACTGAACCGCTTGAAAGCTGCAGATGTTAGATTCGTGCAAACATCGTGGTACCAACCTTTGCACTCATCGCACTGCATGCCGCTATCAACAGGATATCGACATCCTGGGCGGTGGCAAATGCTTTTGTTGCATCTTCCAGTCATTTTAGGATGCGAAAGTGAGTGTTGACTACAAGTAGAAAAAAAAACTATAAACAGTTAGGACCAAAGTACTAACAGACACAATGGAAAAAAAAGGTACTCTGGAGTACCGACGATAAAACTATTTAGGATACCAAAGATGATACTCTAATAGAATACTTTAACTGAAAGAAATTCGATCAAAGTATAAAAACAGTAGTCTTGATACGTTAATAACGATCAAAACAACAGAATTTACTCAACGAGGAAAAATACCACTGTCCTTTTTAAATAGCGCGCACAAAAAAAACAATTTGTACGTCATGTAAAAACCCCTTTGATAATTCCGCGGGCTAATATGGGGAAAGTCCTTTCATGTTTTTTTCGCGTGAATATTTCTTTAGCATTCTGTTTTTTGTTGAATGTATTTTGTATGTTTGTTGCTAATTGTGAGTTGGATTGCAGTAATTGTGACCATATCGTCTACAAACTCTGGGCAGCAATTAACCCCCTGGTGTTGTTGAGTCATTTGTGAGCTGATTAACCTTCGTTTTATTTGATATAGTTTCATAGAGGTCGCCAAACCCAACTGCCATCATTCGATTGGTGGGTCGAATGTTTTGTCCCGTGTTATTGATCTGAATCATATTGCTTGTTCGTCATAGAAACGTTTGTCACCAATAATTGTTGGCTGTTCATTATTGGAAAAAGTTGGATTAACCTATTTTGTAGCTTTAGGTAGGATACTGTCCGTTTACTGATGGGAAACTTTTACTGCTTTGATAAATTGGTCCTGTGAAGTGTCAGTACTAGTTAGAAAAAGTACCGCCCAGATACCACTAGTTTACTTTCCTTCCCGTTCTTTCTTATGTTACCTCTTCAGTAGATAAAACTAGCCAAAAATGTAAAAGACACACATCGCCAACGATCAACAGGAAACTAAAGTGTTAACCTTAGACCTCATCTGATTTTCCAACATCATCGACTAAAAATAATGCGACAGAGATTATCGTAGAACATCTCAGCATCAGCGACCACCAGAGGAGTACTTAGATTCCGACAAACAAACAAAGTCACATAACCTGGAAAAAATGAAGTTCACAAGATACCTAAGACATTCGAACATTTAAAATAAACGTGACCCCCCCCTTAGTAGTAGAGGTCTACTCTGTACCATCGATGTTGTGATTTTATTGACTAGTATAGAAAAGTCTAAAATATATATATATGCCAAACATTTTTGCGTGAAGAAGGCTCGTATGAAGTGACACTTATTGCCATCTCATGTCAAATCTTCACTTAGAGAGATAATCGATACACTTTCGAACTTCACACGACGCTGGTAAGATAAAATTCACAACACCCTTTCATGATTTGTTTTCAGGACGACAAAGCAAATGATAGAGGAAGGAAAGATAGTATGAACCTTTATTTTCCCATTCACCACAATAATCCTCAAGTCCAGAATTTACAACTGCGTCTAGTTAAATTATTGAAGCTATAAAAATGTTGTCTACATATTCAAGTGACTATAGACTCAACTGTGTTTTGAGTTCCAAATAAATGCAACGTGGGTGGTCACGTTGTTTCATACTTAAATATATAATTGGAATCTTAGTGTGTTGCTACGAAAACCATGGTTTTTTGTAGTACTTTTTTTCTACTTATTTCAAATTTTGCAGCTTACCAATTTTCGATATCAGAAAAAGCAAAGCAATAAGACTCTGTTAAGATGCGGAAAATAATTGAAAATATAAAACTTTGGAAGTTATACCTAGTAAAAACGTTTCTATATTGTCATAATCGTGAGATTTTATTCGACTCATTAACGTTTGACTCATCTTTTGCAGTCCATTAGGTACATTAAATTAGATAGCCATAAACCTTTTACTCCTTTCTATTTGCCGACTCCTAGTTATGTAAATAATCAGATTTTTCATTTATGATGTCATGGTCCTGTATCTTGTACATGAAGAACTAGACTTTTAAACCTTTATAATACAGAATAATTTAATAAACTGGGTTAACCTTCCAAGTGGCCTAACTGATCGAGATGGGATATAGGTGAGAATATTTTACAGGCTGCCAACAGTTAGCACATACTTTTAATGTGCGTTAGCACAATCATTATGAATGTAAAAAGAAACTCATCACACTTTATTACAAACAAAAATCTAATATGATTTTTACAGTGTTTACGAACCAAATTCTACATACGCCATTGAATGACCGTATCCACAACCGATATATTTCACTTTGTAATTTTGATTAAAACAGCGGAAACTTATTCGATATGGTTGTGTAATATATGGAATAACTTCTTCTTGAGTCTCATGTTGTTCTATCTGACTTGCAGTTTTCGTTGTAACACCGCACATACCATGCTCATTCCATCCCCAAACCCATAACTGTCCATTTGAATCGATAGCCAATGAGTGCTCTGAACCACAAGCAATAGTTTTTACGGTCACTTCATGACCATCATTTAAATGAAAATGTACTTTCCCAGGATATGCATCGAAATTCGGGAAAATCTCATTAGACTTTCCTATAAACTTGCTCAATATGTTAACAGTTCGTCCAAGCTGTCCAAAGTCTGATCGACCCCACGAATAAACTTCTCCAACACCTTCAGACATAAAGTAAACACATTCTTGAACAAATACGTATAAAAAATATTTAGATGTTAAAATTAGTATACCGAAAAGTGACTTGATGCAAAAATCATTGTCAAGAAATTACAACTCATGCTAAACATTTGATGGTATAATTGATAGAGTAACTAGATGAGAGGCTTTGGAAATAATTAAAGATAAAGTAACCATAAAACTATTCGCAGATAATGCACCAATTGATCAATATTAATTAAAACAATATCGGTCAAAATAACAGTGTATCTTTACTGGATGAAATCATATGAAAGAAACTATAACTAGTAAATCTTTAGACAATAAAAATGAGGATTCCCTATAAAAAAAGTTGCGTAATAAAAATCACCCACTATTAGAAGTTCCCTTATCCCTTGGGATGAATGACCATAACAAACTTTGCACAAATTTTATAGTTCGAACTCAAGTACATAAGCTTGTAACTAACTTCGTTTAAGTGCCAAAAAATAACGCAATCAATAACAATTAGGTAGATCATCTATTCAGTATTTCAATAACCCCTCTCTCCTAAAACTGTAATATGTAAGTATAAATGAAAACTTTTAATACATAGTGTATAGTTAATATGATTATACGAAGAATTAAAAGATTATGATTTTAAGTATACTACTGATATTCAATTAAAATAATTTGATAGATATAATAAAGAAAAAAGTAGTGAATTTTTTATGATGACTTGAAAATATGAGCAGGGAGACGACTTTTCAAAAATTTCATGCAGTTAGTTCACTTTATGAATTTAAATAAAGCCAGAACAAATATTGATGCATCAATATTTGTTCTGGCTTTATTTAAATTTTTTATGAGATTGATGCTGTAGGCATCGGTGATAAAAAACAATTTATCTAAATTTCATGAATATTGGTATTCAGTTAGTATGGTTTACAGCTGGCTGTCACTCTCAGATACTCGAGTATATATCGCAGAACCGTAATCAAGAACACTAACTAAACATTACAGATTAACGTCAAAATACTTATTTAGTCCACATATTATTGACAAACACTTTTCACCTAGTTGTAGCTACTAATCATTCATATAAAACTACTTGTTTTGGCAAATCCGTGAACGTTAGTAGTTATTAATCTATCCTAAACTAAGTCATCTAAGCAACATAGAAAAACCTAATAATCTTGTGAGGCGCACATATATCTGGTGCCCCTTGTACCAATATTTATGTGTTTAAATAAATAAATAAAATAAATATTTTTCCAAACAAATGTAGTGCCATAGGAAGAGACCAAATCATAAAGACAGATCAGTTCATACAGTCACTAACTGTTGAACTAAACATTGGTAATAATTGCAAGGTATCTTGATTAGGATTTGCACAATAACCGTGGCTAATAGTTGGAGACATTGAACGGTATGGCTTAAGATTTACTCTCTCAAAATTACTTTATGCATTTTATTCCGCAAGTTAACTTATTTTTCTTGAATCATTTTTTATGGCTTTTTTTAAAATTACCACTGATAATATTACTGTTGATTTGACAATTTTATCTTGTTGCACTGATGTAGTGTGGCAACTTGGATTGATGTACACATGTGCCATTTACAATTGACTTGACTGCAGGTACAAGAGTTACCTCTTGCTACATTCTGCGTACAACATTATAAAGCTATTTTTCTACATACAATACTAAATAAAGCGATTATTATTACTATTCTATAAAAATGCTTTTTAAGCATATATAAGAAAAACTGGGCGTTATTATTAACCACTTACTTATGCATAATGATATTTTTAGTAAATTATTTTCTCTATTATTATATCTCTTTCAATATTACTCTGGTATTTAATAAGATGTGTAAATTTTAGTTGATTGGCTTTTTAAAAAAGTTTTTTGTAATATAACAGTTACTTTTGCGAAATATTTTTTATATAGTTGAGATCATGAGTCAATTTAAGCGCCTCGTGGATGTGCACTGCTGAGGAGTCCCGGAATAGAACGAAACGGCCGTCCAGTGCTTCCAGGTTTTCCATGGTGGTTTAGCTTCAATTAATTCAGGATCTCAACCATATAAAATTACTAAAATTTCCACAAAACCCCCTTCTGAAAATATTTTTTACTTAGAAAAGGTCATATAAAAATAAATACAATTACTCTTACTAATAGGTGTTACTTACTAGTTCTAACGAGAACATGACTCCATCCACATACCACTTGTTCTATTTCATTGTTACCGAATAATTCAGCATCATACCAAATAGGAGATGAAAGTCTACTTTCGGTATTTAAAGAAAGATCGTGAACTTCTGATTTGAGTTTAAAAAATCGAGTATCTCCAAAAAGAGCCAGTTTGTTTGTTCCTAAAGATGAATAAATTACAAATTCGTAATAAACCAATGGATAAAAAGGTTTACACTTACAAGAGCTTATAACATACTTGTTCTTGCAACTGAATGATATGCACCAGCAGCACAATCGACCCACTCATGTGTATCACCTAATACAGAGTTCAATAGAGTGGGACGGTAACATATTTGTTTCGATTCATCATAATGCTCGGCTTTATTCAACACTTTATCAACGAATAATTGTTTTCGGCGATTAGAACCCCAACCAAATAGTTTTCCGGAGACTGAAAAATAACTTTCTTTAAAGAAAACAAAAATCACTTGTCACAGAAACGACATGTCTTAGACCTGCAGATATAGATCGAACAGGCTCTATATCAACACGAACCTAAATTTGTATCATTTATCCGATAAAAACTTACAGGAACTATGCTTGAATTAATACTTTCTTTACCCAACTGCCCATATTCATTTGATCCCCACGAGAAGACAGATCCATCACTTAGTACTGCAACAGAAAAATCCCAGCCACACGATACTTTATTAACAGTTGGTGCAAAAGAGAACGGAATGATTTTAAAATGATTGCAGTCATTTGAACGACCCAGCTGACCAACAGAATTCAAACCACAGCTGAATATATTGTTTTCTTAGTACATAATATAACTTTGTTTTTCATTTACCGTTAGAAATGAGAGAGTGACCACCACCTCCGGAGATCAGAGCGACTGGATCAGTAAAATTAATAATTTTAGGCTCATAAGCATCTTTATCATCTCCTGTACCCAGCTGACCATGGCTGTTCGCACCCTGCAAAGTAATATCATTGTAATGAATATGATAAAACAAATTGAACTCACCCATGTAAGCATAAGAAAGAGGAGACTTAAATTATCGCCTGAGTATCAAATAGGGATGGGTAGAAAAAATGGTTAGTTGATATATTTGAACAGCTGATTTATTACAAGATGCTGAGTATAAGTAGGAAAAAAACACTAAACTGTCATTTTGAAATGATAAACACTAATAAAGTGAGAATTATTCAAATACATTGATTCCTATTAGCATAACATAAAAGGATTTATTTATTTATTTAAACACATATATATTGGTACAAAAGGGCACCAGGTACATATGCGCCACACAAAATAATGAAAGTAGGAAGAGAAGGGATGAAAAGATAAGGCGGACTGAAATGTACAACCAGAAGACTCTTTCAGTTAAGAAAGTTAGAACCACTCTTCATGTAGAAAGTAAAAGAAGGTTGCAGCAGGATCACCACTGGCTTCTATTCTGAGCCATATCTGATAACGTCTCTAGCCACTGTGTTGCACCATCTCTCGGGCTCCAACCAGGGAGTCGTGAAGGACCAACAAAAGCTAGCCCTTTGCAGCTCTCTTTCATGCCACGACACCATGTCATACACTGACCTCCTCTCCGCTTTCTCCAACCAGTCCCAGAGTCGGCAAATAATGCACGACGTGGAAGTCTCTGGGACGACATTCGTAAAACATGTCCAAGCCACCGAAGTCGGTGTTTCAAGATGGTGACACCAATTGAATTATCGTCTCTGCGCCCGAACACACGATGCAGAACCTCTGCATTACTAACATGGTGTTGCCACTGGATGTCATCAATCCTTCGGAGACAACGATGATCAAACACAGAGAGACGTCTAACATCCTCAACTCGGAGAGGCCAGGTTTCACAAGCATAGAGCAAAACTGCTCTCACCGACGGGTTGTAGATCCGACCTTTTACAGCCAGACTAACATCACGAAGGCGCCAAAGATGGCCCAGATTGGCATAAGCCACTCTGGCTTTCCTTATACGTGCATCAATCTCGTCACTCACGCCACCACCAGCACTTACATAGCTACCTAGATACACGAACTTCTCAACTACTTCAATCTGCTCACCATCCAGGGTGAGTACAGGATTGGAATCCTGTCAGTCTTGTAGGAGTACTTTGCACTTGGAGGGTGCAAAGCACATACCGTACCTGTGGACACTGATTGCCAACTGATTAAGTGCTGATTGCATGCCTTGGGCATTATCGCACAGTAAGACAATATCATCCGCATACTCGAGGTCGAGAAGTCGTTCTCCAGATCCATACCGCCATTACTTACATCCATCAGAGCTGTTTCCAGGATGTCGTCGATGGCAAAGTTGAAGAGGAATGGTGAGATCGGGCAACCCTGTCTAACCCCACTACTCGAATGGAACAAGGGAGAAAGGTGGTTGTATGCCCTCACTCTGCCTGAGGTGTTCGTATACAGGGCCTTTAGGATGGTAATGAACTTCTCAGGCACACCCTTCTTCAATAGACAATCCCAGAGAACAGTCCTGTCCAACGAATCGAAGGCCGCCCTGATATCAAGAAACACTACGATTGTTGGCCTGCGATAAGTATGTCGGTGTTCTAACATTTGGCGGAGGGTGAAGATGTGATCAATGCATCTTCGACCAGAACGAAAACCAGCCTGCTCCTCGCGAGTCAATCGTTCTCGGGTTTTAAACAACCTACGAAGAATGATATAAGCCAATAGTTTGGACGCAATCGAAAGTAGACTTATCCCCCGATAGTTATTGCAGGAACAACGTGAACCCTTTTTAAAGATAGGGACGACTATTGACTCATTCCATGATGTTGGAACACTTTCTTGCTCCCAAACCTTTCCAAACAACGCAGTCAGTTCCTTAGCCAACATAAAAGGAAACAAATGAAGATCCGTTGGAAAAACACTGGAGTGACGAATACTTAGTTACTCAAAGCTCACCCTTTGTTTACATGGAGACAAAAGACGAAATTATTGACTTTTATAGGATATTTACCAAATTAATCGTAATCCAGTTGGTTTTTATTTAACGAAGCACATAAAATCTGGTACATGGCACTAAAAGATAGAACACGCCACACAAAGTATGGATAACACTACGAAAAGGAAACATATTTGAGCCATACAAATAGGGAAACGAAATTGTGAAAAATAAAGTAGGGACGAGGATCGCAATCAAAAATATATAAATGGATAGATGTGAGTGAACGACAGTAGAACATAGTGGGATATACAGTACAGTTAAAATGCAACCAGATGGAATTTTCCGTTGTGTGAGTTTTACATTTTTATGAAGAATGTAGAAGAAAACTACAGTAGAACTGCTATTTGTTTCGATTCTGAATTATGTCTTATAACACTGACTTGCATCATCTCTCGGACCTCAACCAGGAATTTGTAATATACTAACAGCTCTATGAAACTTTCTCTTATACCCCGGAACCCTGTCATAAACTTGTAGTGTCAGTTGCTATGTTAAGCCCATATACTTTATTCTAGCTTCTGGACAGGTCAATTTTTCCATTCTTCTTGAGTCACGTATTGGTCTTGTTAATTATTCACTTATCAACCTTGACTATTTTTATATGAGCGTGTGTGTGCACTTATCCTACTCATTATATGTCTGTAGCTTTTCATCTGGCTATAAATATTGATTACCATCTGATTAAGTGAAGTTGGCTCACACGCCATCTCCACTGCACGTCATCAAGCTTCACTCTCTTCTCTTCGCTTCATCCCTCTAAATATCTGTTCAGACAGATGAGCGTACAAAATACACGTATTCTCGTATTCCGCTTATTTAACTCCGTTATTCGCTAACGCGATTTAAGTGGATAAAGTATACGACGATAGCAGAGATGTGTATTTCGATGATAATCAGCATACAATCCAACTGGAGTCAGATATAGGGCCACAAAAGTGGTGAACCCGTCGACAACATTTTTCGGTCTAATTGATGTCAAAATGACGGGCCACTAAAAACTGACCACCACGTTTTGTCACCAAGAGTCCAGGCATAAGGTCTGTCAGAGTTGTATCTAGAATGTCATCGTTGGGAAGTTCGAAGAGTGGTGAAACTGGGCAACTCTGCCTAACTCCACTGCTGTAATTAATGATGGAGAGGTGGCTGCATGTTCTTACTCTATCTGATGTTTTAGTGTAAAAATCCTTAAGACGTTGATGGACTTCTTAGGGGTACTTTCCCTCAACAGACAATCTCAGAGTACAATTCTTTTCAATGGATCGAATATAGCTATTATGTCAAAAAACAGAGATTGTTAGCTCGCAATAAGCATGGTAATGCTTTAACGGTTGTCTTCGATAAAGCCAAGACCTGAAAGAAAACCAGCCTGTTTTAGCAAATTAGTCTTTTACGGGTTTTGAACAATCTGAAAGAAATAACCAATAATCTGGATGCATTCCAAAGTAAACTTATCCCTAAATAGTTGCTGGGATGTTGATGAAGACCTTTATAAAAGTTAGGATGGCGATAGGCTTATTCCAAGATTTTTTAACATCTTTTCAAGCCTTTCAAAATAACCCAGTTAGTGCCATGATCAGGAGTTCTCCAACATGTGTAAAAAGAGCGGTAAGTACGAAGTCTGGGCTTGGTGACTTGCGGCGCTTCAGGAGTTTGAGCTTACCACAGACTACTGCCTCATCGGTTAAATCAGTTGTCACTGGTCATAAAGGACAGGATAGTCTGATTGATGTTGCTGGAGAAACAGGTCAGCTGAACTGCTCTTCAGAAAACTATCCAGATCGTCCAAGACACCTTTAGATGTTACTACTTGGGTTTCCATCGACTACACAGATTGCTTCACTCACACTAAGCATTTCTCTGCCAGTGGCTCGGACTGAATGCAACGACTTCCAGAAATTACCAGATATTTATTTATTATTTATTTAAACATAAATATTGGTACAAGGAAGCACCAGATACATATGCGCTGTGCCAGATATAACACCTGTTTCCAGATCAAAAGCACGATCCGATCACTAGGTATTTCGTTCCACAAAATTTTGACTGGAAAGAGTAAAAGGAATATTTAGTTCACCAGATTGATGAAACTGTGTTCTCATTTTCTGAAGCAATAAACAAGAGATGGATTTTTACGTTTCCCAACAACCTTTCTCCGAGATATTCCCCAAAACAACCTACCTTTCCCCTAGAGATTCTATACATCCACAAAAAAATTTTCTTTACATATTTGTCGCTTGTGCATTAATTGCTATAAAATATGAAACTCTCCAAACACCACTATCTCCAATCTCATAAAAAATACTCAAATGCATTGCAACAGATATACTTTTTTCAAAATATTTATTCAAAAAACCATAGTTGTCTATTCGATACTCTAAAATGTTTAAGCTGTTGCTTATAGAGGACCTCGATATAAAATTACCTTCCATACTTAAAATATTCGATTCTATGACGATCGACGATATCTATCAATCAATAAACAGATCTGTAAACTATGAATGGGTAATAGGAACTGATAAGTCTCATTGAATTAGTTGAAGAATTTAGTCACAAGCTTAAGAGGATTTCAAGAACAAATATACTGTCTAAGTGTATTTAAATCATTACACTTTATTACGAGGTCGTAGTACATTTTTACATTTCCTTACATTTAATGACGTGAATTCTCAAGAATCTCACCATCAGAAATAGTTTCCAGTTTAACAGGTCTAAACGTTTATTTGAACTTTTACACCAGGTCAGTCTATTTTATTAATTCTTGTCACCAGGTTTTCATAAGTAACGGGTTTAAATACGCGTCAAACTTGTTTAACAAGCGTAATTGTGTAAATTTTCATTATATAATCTATACGTGACTCCGTATTTTAGGGAAATTTCGTTGTTCTCCGCAAATTTATGTGAAAATTCGTGGTTTTTCACAAAGTCTGGAAAATTAATTGGTCATCCTCAAACGTTTTGAGGATTTCTCAAAATAACTTGGTATTTTGTGAGAAAACTTAGACTTTGGGAGATCTTGAGGAAACAATCTAAATTACTTGTATGGACT